GGGGATTGACAGCGAAGGGGGCTCCTTGAAGGTTCTTGATCTCGTACTTGTTGATCTAGCCATTGAACGTCAGCTCAGAATTCAAATTTTTGACCAATTTAAACTGCGAAGATAACCTACCTCTCCATCAACGGGGTTGAAAGCCAGCTGGTGGTCGTCGTAGTCTTCACGAACACCGGTGTGAAAGGTGATTAGATTTTGGTGTTGATTCAGGCTGTCTCGGCTGATTTTCCCCTCCAAACCAGGGAAGTATCGGTACAAAGCATACCAAACATTGGCCACCGCCTCTCTCTCGACTTGGTTGGCATTGTTAAACCTCCCAAGGGCTAACGGCAACACATGTGAGAGATGAGTGCCACCGGCGGGCATGCCTGCAGGCGGCACAAATAGCCCCTTCGTAATACTCTCATAGTCGCTGCAATGACTGTATGCACAGCGGAATCCGTCACGAAGGAGGCATTCGTCCTTGAGGATCCCCAGTCGGCCTCTGGCTGCAGGCTGCGTATTGCCCGCGAGTTGGGCAATCGAGTTGGCAGCATTGGGGTTGGGCGATCCGGGTGTGGATGCCAGTGCGACAGACTTGACCATACTCGCAAGCTTCACTATTGAAATCAAACTTTTGTTAGTACAAGGTCGACTTAGATAAGAGGTTCCTAGCCGGGCAGTGCCAGGTGGTTATCCAGGCAGTGTCCCCAGTGAATTCGATCGTAGCGTGCCCAATACTTCGACAAGAACGACAGTAGTAGAGAAAACGATAGGAAGAGGGACAACAACGATAACGAGATGAGTATATAGGAAAGGTTGTCGCTAAAAGTAGTATAATAAGAACAGGGTGACTTAATAGGATTTACGGATGACACGCGTGTGTGGCGGACACTGCCCGGATAACAAACCTCTTAGATAGAACCACGACTAACTTGGCTTGAGGATTGTGTCAATCAGGTAGCGTTAGAATGCCTTGAGCTTCGCTTGATCTCTGCCGATCGTCTTGATGTCGGTCATGAGAGCGATCGCTCCGTGTTTCGAAAGCATTTGCCAAAAAGTCGAAATGATCAAGCAAGTATTGTCAAACGGGGTATACAAGTTCATGACCTCGTCGGTGAGTTCCAAAAGGTCAGAGAAACTATCTGGGTCTGTCCAGTCATCCAATTGCTGCTGAGAGAGAGGATGAGCGATGACACTGCTGAATACAGTCGACAATTTCGGGCCAGTCTCTGCCATTTTGAGAGCTGTTGAGAAGAGACCACTACTTTTCTTGCGCTAGAGTGACTACTTTTCTGGCGTGTTCGATATCGTCGTTCGCCGTCGCTGTTGTCGTCGCCTCTAATCGTCTATGTCTTTGTCGTCTTTCGTTGTCATCTGTCGTCATCGTCGCCTTTTGTCGTCGTCTCTATCGTCTTCTCTGCTACCGTATTCGTAGCCTCTCTGACGCAGGAAAATCAGGCGGTCTTGTTGGAAAAAGGGGATGAAGTGTTGGAACAAGACTGGCAGGTTTCTGAAGCTCGTGAAACCGAAAATTTCAAGATGTGAAAATGGAAGCAATGAAAGTTGTCAAGGTGTATCTGAGCAAACGGGTGGTCGACGAAAGACCTATTAAATCAAGAATCCACTAGTTTTCAAACTGTAAGATGTTATTGGTACAATCACTGCTGACATAGCTAAGTCTCCATTCTCAACCAACCAAAATATTGCTGGACGTATTGGGCGGATTCCACTTTCCACAATTGAGTAGATACCTGCTGTACCTAGGAAGCAAGGCCTCTTGGGCCAGTGCAAAATCAACAGGCAAACAGCATACCCTTTTGTGCCAACCGACTTTTCAACCGACTAAATAACAGACAATGGCTGATTCATTGACTTCCTTTTGCTAAGGAATACCGACTTCCTCAATTTGTTGAAGTATTGTTTGCTGTGCTACGCAGGATGTCCAAGTTTCGACCAGCTGCCAAACGCCCGCCCCACAACAGCTGTCACTCTCAGCCAATCACATTCCCCGCTGCCAACTCCACAGGCGTCACCCACCACACCAAAGCAGGAACTCGGGCAGGTCATCCCAAGTCCAGTCCGCAGCACCACCACGCAAGCCAGGAAGCAGGCAGTATCCAATCACGAACACGAACCGCTTCAAGTTTCCCGTGAGGGGTGCCTTTCTTTTTATCTTCAAGACTGAAGAACAATACGTTGAATCCCAAGAAATCAACCGGAGAAAAAAGTCATTGGACTTGTTTGAGACAGTAGCACAAGACAGAGACACTGGTTCACCACGCCTCCAATGATGCAGTCCTCAGCCAGCGTCATTGGGGTAGACGCCATCGAACACATCCTGGCCGACGCCTCGTCATGGGCCAACCCCGGCGCCGAGGACCAGGGCCGCGCTCACAGGACCGCGCTGCTCGGCGATGTGTTCTCGACCGCGCAGCACATGTGGCATGCGGGCAGTCAAGAAATTGATGTGGTGGCAGAGAAGCTGGGCGACGGAAGCCGAGATGGTAAGTTCAGCCTTACAAATCCGAAGATGGATGAGAAGCTGACATGTCGACAGCCTCATGGAGACTACCATATGGCGACTCTGGTATCGTCGACTTGTTCCTCAAGATCGTCACCACACCGAACCTCCGCCCGGCGTTGAAAAAGCACACCCTCCGCATCATCGGCAACTCATGCGCCGACACAGGTAGCTCACTCACCTTTATCTACTCTCGTCACGGCCACAAGCTAACACTGCCCAGACGAGAACCGTGCCCGCGTCATCTCCTCAGGTGCCCTTCCAGCCATCATCGCCCTGCTCAACGACGACGACGTCCTCCCCTTCACCATCTCAGTCCTCTACAATATCCTCGTGGACTACGAGCCAGCCCAGCAAGCAGCCTCAGCCGCCAACCTGACCCTATCGATCGTCAACCTCCTTACATCCCCTCGCCTCTCTCAAGCGCAGAGCCTCCTCTCGCTCATCGCCAAACTCGTCGCTCTCCTCGCAACCCACGAGTCCGAAGCGACCCTCGCACCCCCTCAAACGCCCTCCCTCCTGCTCACCCTCGCCCTCACGCCGACAACAGAGCCCGAAGACTTCGTCACCCTCACGGCCGTCGCCCTCGCCTACCTCACCCACGCCCCCGTGCAAAAGGCCTTCATCGAAACCGGCTCCGTCCCCATCCTCCTCGCCACATTCTACCACCTCCAAACCCAGCTCGAGGCCATCCGCGTCGAGGACGAAGACGCCGCGATCCAACTCAAGGCCCTCCCCCAGTCCTTCGTCCAGCTCCTCTCCGACATCTCCTACGACGACGCCTTCACCGCCCACAACCCCATCGGCTCCCCCGTCATCCAGACCCTGCAATCCTGGCTCGCCCTCCCCAACGTCCACCTCCAGTCCGCCGCCTGTCTCTGCCTCGGCAATGTCACCAAATCCGACGAGGCCTCCTACGCCCTCGTCAAATCCCACGCCGTCCACCTCCCTCTCGTTCCCCTCCTCCGCGTCTCCACCGACTCAACCCTCCTCCACGCCGCCCTCTCCTTCCTCAAAAACCTCGCCATCCCGCCCCAAAACAAGCCCGCCCTCGGCGACGCCGGCCTCCTCGACGCCGACATCCTCCCCCGCATCTGGTCCCTCGACGTCAACCCGCAGGTCCAGTTCTCCGCCGTCTCCCTCACCCGCCTCCTCCTCGTCAACACGCCCCCCAACGTCCGCCGCCTCTGCGCCCCGCTCAACCCGGACCCCCTCTCCCCCTCCCACGACACCACCCACCTCCACCGCCTGCTCGACCTCTTCGCCCGCACCGACGCAGAGCACACAAAGACCGAGGCCGCCCGCGCAGCCGCCGCCGTCTGCCGCGTCCTGCACACCACCCCCATCCCGCCCCTCCTGCCCGACTGGGACCCGACGCAGGACGGCTACGTCTTCCGCCCGGAGAAGCCGCTCGCGCCCACCGCAGCTGCCGAGGCCGACGAGGATGGCGGCGCCCGCAGGAGGGAGCGCTTCTACCGCCAGCACGCGCCGCTCAACAAGGCCCTCGCGTTCCTCGTCACGCAGGCCAAGTTCCCCGTGCTGCGCAGCGAGGCGTGGTTCGTATTCGCGCTCATGTGTCGTGCGAAGGACGGCGCCGGCGTCGTCATTCGTGCGCTGCAGGTGCCCGGCGCGTTTGAGGCGCTGACGGAGGCGATTACGGGGCGCACGTTCTCCGGGGAGGATGTGGAGGGGAAGACGCCGGCGGCGGTGCAAGCGGGTTCGGGCTCGGAGGCTACCGTTGTTGGAGGGCAAGGGAACAGTATGGCGTTAGTTGATGGTTTGGGACTGGAGCCGCAGGCGGCGGACCCGAGCCAGGCGGCGGGGATGAAGAAGGTTGATCGGGAGAATGGGCTTGTTATGGTTAGCGAGCTTGTGAAGAGGCATGCGGAGGAGTTGCCGGCGGTGAGGAGGGCTGCGTTTGAGGAGATGTTGAGGGAGGGCGGGGAGATGTTGGCTGGTGAGAAGGGGAAGGAGACATGAGATAGCATATAGCAAGCAAACGGGAACACAAGACAGATTTACATAACAGACGATGTCGCAAGCACCAGGAATAAGTCACTGCAGGGGACGAAGAGGCAGAAGAATCAATCCATAGTCTACTCCTGGAACACATAGACCCATGATACACGTCACACATTTCATCATATGCGCGTCCTGTCTCCTTCCATCGTCCAAGGACGACAGCAACACACAAGTCTGGGCGTGATCAATGCAATAGTTTCTTTATGACCTTGTCCTGAGTTATCTCTCTTCTCTCATTTCCACCGAACCCGCCAGGCCCAGCGCTTCTAGACTTTTTTTTAATTCCCTCAAGCCCAGAAAGTTGTGATTGTTTAACGTGTCGAAAGCAGCAGCCGAGTGAAAACCTGATTCCATTGTGCCGCAGCAGCAAACATAACCCCCCGACACCACAAGAGACGGACGACACCAAGAAAGCCAGAGGAACATGCATAAGAAAGTAAACAAATTTTTCCCGTTGACGGAATCAAGTTGCTTATTTCTTGGCAGCCTCGGCCTCGGCGGCGTCGCGGGCACGCTTCTCCTTCTTGCCCAGGTTGCGGGCCTCGGCTCTGGCGAGGCGGAGCTTGCGGTAGGCACCACCCTCGACGGCAGCGGGGACGTCGGACTTGGAGATCTCGGAGAAGCCGCTGACGGTGTTCTCGACGGGGAGGGCGGCGGAGAGGTTGCGGACGGTCTCGGTGCTGGCGAGGTCGACCTTGGAGTCGCCCTGCTTGGGCTTGTTGGAGCGGCGGGGGAAGACGACGAGGCGCTCCTTGTAGGCCTTGAGGCGGGCGACGTTGGCGGCGAGGGACTCCTCGCTCAGGTTCTGGCGGCGGCCGTCGACGGCGATACCGATGGTGGGAGCGTAGAGGCGGGGGATACCGGCGGCCTTGTGTGACAGTCAGTTTGCTTGCTCTCGCCTTCCACATCTTCCCAGAACGAATTTACCTTGAGCTCAGCCAGGGAGAAACCGCGGCCCTCACGGACCTTGCGGTTGTACTTGACGGTAGGGCATCGGACAACCGGGCGGAGGAGGTCGACGGGGCGGGGAGCGACCTTGGCGGCCTTGGCCTGACGCGCGACACGGCGGCTGTGCTTCTTGCCGGCCTATTGTGGTGTTGTTAGAAAATTTCGGGTTCCCATCAAGTGCCATTTCCCATCTCGAATTGTCGCCAGTTTTGCGACGGGACCAAATCATACCTGGTCGAAGTGCGTCCTAACCCGGCGCTGCCAATCCTTGCGGAAGTCTGTGGTGTCTCTGTCAGTTGTCGTGCTCTTCTCGATGTGCGTTCTTCTCGTCGTCGTTGGATCGTGGGGGAGTCTCACGGTTGTGGGGGATCTGCTGGTTGTGTGCGATCGCCTGGGGAGAGCCAAAGTCAGTATATCGGCGGCGGCGACGGGGACGCGAATGCCTTCAATGGCGATTCCGTAGATGAGGGCAAACGTACCATTGTGCCTGTGTCGCGATCAAAGGGTTAGTAGTCCTAGGCCGGGTCGTCGAGATGCTGCTGCGAGGCGTGGACAAATTTCCTGGAGGTACGACGAGTCAAAATCTCTGGAGGGCATGAAAACCCTACGAAAAGCCCGGGCGTGCGGTACGTACTTTGGGGGGGTTTGGCGGTGCGGGACGGCAGGCGCGAGGCGATTGGCTGGGGGCAGCATGCCGTGGCAGGGCAGGCGGGACAGGCGACGGCGGAACCTTGATCCGCGCAAAAGGTGGCCGCAGTGAATTTTTGCGTCGAGGTACGTATCTTTACTGATTGTGGGCTCGGCTGCGGACGTCTATTTAATGGCGTCCACCTCGCGCGTCTTCCTCCTCTTCTCCTTTTGAAAGGCATACTTACCTTGTCTGGCCGTCGGGGGATCAAGAAATCCTGACGGCAGAGAGGGAGGCCTGCATTGCACATCGCGGCGTCGACCTCTCTCGATTGTCCTTCGGGGCCATCGTGGGCGCAATTTTTGATGTATGCCTTTTGTTTTCATTGTGTGCTCTGCCTTGTGCAGGGTCATGAAGAAGACTACTGAGTGTTGATATTGGACTGGGCGTCAACTGAGGTCCTTCGATAGTTCCTAGATTTGATTCTGCTGAACTTGATGCCGTTGGAGAATAGGCTGCGTCGATGGATTTGTAGTAGCGCCCGCCTGTAGCTTAGTTCAAATGATGCTGCAACTGCCCGTCAATGTTCGTGACAAACACCTACCTCGTACTGCAGCCCCAGTGAACATCGACGATAGCTTCACCCATTGCCATGTTCGTCGATTGATGACTTCCTGCCGTAGACGTCGAAAGTGTTCTCCAGTTTCGGATTGAGCTGAGCTTGAGTGCTCCCATCCATTGATTGCATCGTCCTATCCTTGAAGGGATTCAAGCCTGCGTCCATTTCTCTGTCCATGCGTGTCCAGTATGCCGTGATAAACCACCAAAGATACCATCACCAATGCTCCCTCCAACAATCGTCCATCTCATCACCACGTTCCTCACACCCAGCTGCCAGCTGCACCGAAGCTTCCTCGTACGACACCGACCCCGGAACATCCCGCACCAATCACAACCCCGCAAAAAAAGCCCAACACCAAAAAGTGCCGCCCCATACCCAAAGCTCCAAAAAATCTCATGACGCTCGCCGACCCGTTCTCCCGACTCCGAGTCGCCTCTCAACCTCGACCATAGAGTGAAACCGCCAAAACCACTCACTCCCGTACCTCGCCCCCACGATATCCCCCCCGAGTCGTTCGAGTACAAACCATCAAACACAATGGCTTCGAGAGTATCCCCCCGAAGCGCCTCCGACGCAACGCGCTTCACCTCAACCACCCCGCACGCCGCCTCCAAAGCCGCCGCTCCCTCCACGCCGAAACCAAAGCAGCAGCAGCCCTCACCACAAGCAAAGACACCAGCAGCGACGAAGCTCTCCTCAACACCGAAAAGCTCCGGCGGCGGCAACAGGCTACCCGGCGAGACCCCCGAAGAGCGCGTCCGCCGCCTCCGCGCGGCCCACGAGGCGGCGCGCAAGGCGCAGACCAGCAGCGTCGACCGCGTCCTCGGCGGGAGCAGACGGTTCTTCGATGTCGCGCACAAGGCCACCGTCATTGGGCTGGTCGGGTTCACAGGTACGTTTAGAGAGCACGTCTTCCGGGGGATCCTGCAGGGCCAATTGAGCCCCAAGATCGCCACCCAATATAGCACTTGAACCAGGAAGAACAGAATACTAACTCTACTTCCCACAGCAATCGCCGGCCTCGTCTCAATCTACTCCGTCTACGACATGGTAACCTACAACAAACAGCGCCGCGCCGACTTCATCGAGGCCCAGCGCAAGATGGAAGAAGACTCCCTCGCCGCCGCCCGCCTCGCCTTCATCAACGGCACCGCCACCGACGCCCAGGTCTCCCTCGTCGAGGAGGCCAACGCCGCCGCCCGCGAGTCCGGCACCCGCCTGCCGCCCCTGCTCTCCGCCCCCACCGTCACCACCCAGGCTGAGAAGATCTTCGGCACCGGGCGTGCCGAGACCGCATCACCAGAGGCCGCCGCCGCCGCCGCCGCCGGCTCCTCAGCGCCCGCAGCGGAAACGCAAAACAAGAGCAGCGGCTGGTGGCCCTTTTCGTCATCCTCCGCCGCCAAGCCCACCACAGAAGCGATCCAGGACAAGGCCAAGGCTGCCTTCGACCAAGAGAGGGAGAACCAGCGCCGCGGGGGCGCGTTGGACCAGATCGGTCTGCAGCCGGTGGAGGAGAAGAAGAAGGGGTGGTGGTAAGAGCATCTTACAAACACACATCACCTCCTCTTACTCAAAATCTCTCGGCGCGCGGGGTGGCAACATTGTTATAATTTGATATACACAACAACCCAAAAACGGAGCATGCGGTATTGTGACGATATGCATAGACGCTACAAACAGACACACACACACGACGACACAAAAGCTGGAAAACAGGCGGAAGGAAGGAAGGGGGAGAGAGGGTATGATAATGGTGGGACCAAGGACCGAGTTGATGAAGATCCGTGTGTGGAAGCTGGTGATGGTGTCCTCTCTGCCTCCCTCGACGCCGGGGGAGACATTGGAAGAGGACGACCAAGAGGAGGGGAAGAAGAGTGCCACTGTATCATAGTGTAGACTTGACTGGATGTGCATTAGACGGCGTCCGGTTGAACCTTTGCATGCGGGAAGGAAATATCACCCTCATCTTGGCATTGCTCACTCATTTCGTGCTACGCTAGAGGAGGGGAGCAAGCCACGTGCAATGTCCGTGCCAAATATCGGCCATCGTTGGCCATCTCCTTCAAGCCACAACCATGGAGCTGCAATCACGCCAACATCACCACACAGACTCGCTCGGGAAGACAGTGCGTCATGAACAATGCTCAGCTTTCGCTGTCAATTACGTCCGCTGGACTGGTATTATGTACACCACCTCAATCGCTCCGAATGCTTGACCATCCGAGTCCGCCACGCCGGGCAGTCGACTCTCCTCCCAGGATGCATGCCCAAAAACCTATAGACCGAAAAAGAAAAGAGTCCGCCTGTCCCCGGACCCGAGCGAGTGGATATGTATATGCGCTGAATGTGGTATTACTCTCAAGACAGCCCTTGCCGTCGTCAAAACCGTGTACCCCGAAATCATAAACTCCATGAAACCAGAAGCAGTTGTTGCACCGCAGTATGCTTTGCCGACCACGCTTTTACACCAGTAGATATCGCGGCAGAGGCGAGCATTGCTCGTCCGCTTCCAAATAATTCTTCCGCTTCTGTAAGAGATAGCCCTCTGCGTTGGCAAATTTGTTCTTGCCCTTGGGCAGATTCTCGAGCAAGAACTCGTCCCCATTCTATGAGACGACAATGTGGTTGAAGTGGCCTGGTACTTTGAGGCGACACTTTTCGCAGTCGGCCCGGTAGCCGATGCTAAAACTCTTCTTCATGCCAGGCTGCCAGGTCCAGTTGTTGACCGTGTGCCTGGATCGGATGTGACCCTTGCGCCCGGGAGATGGCGTCGCAGGGGCCGAGGTCGTCTCTGTCGGCTGGCTATCGATGGTCGTGGTGATGGAGTCTTCACCCATGTGACCCGAGTGATCGTCCATCATGTCCATATCATGACTTCCATCCAGCGACGACTGCTCCATGCGCATGGCAAGAGTAGATTGGAAGCCGTTGTCGAGAATCATTCCTGGGGGGCTGAGACTTCCGCTACCGGCAAGGCTGGTTGAGTCCTCGCCCTCGCTTATGGGAGAAGGCAGGCGACGATTCTGCACGGCATGCCAGTCGTCCCCGCCGTCCATAGAGCGGGGGATGCAGCGGGACTCGTCGCTGCTGAAGCCAGCATGCATGTGGCCCATGTTAACGACGCCGTTCAGGTGGCTCACTGCGGGTCCCGGTCCGCCCCAGCCGCCGCCGCGCACCTGGGCTCCGAAGCTGGGCTGGATGGGGGTCGGCATGCGGCCGTTGACGGAGGACGTCGGATCCGGGTGTACATGTTGCTGCGGAACTGGGGGTGGCGACATGGTGTCCATCATGTCCATATCACGGTCGGACTGCTGTGCGAAAGGCGACGGCTGGCAGGACATGGTTGCGGGTGATGAGGACCAGGGCGAAAAGTGCGACTTGGGTTGCTCCTCCGAGTCGGAGTCACCGGGGGTGAGTGTGTAGGGCGCGGCATTGAGAGGTATGACGGGCGCCGACCAGCGCTTCGAGTTTGGCGAAGTTCGGAGGGGCAAGCATTGCAGGCGTTTCTGGGAAGGTGGAAGTCAGCAATTGTCCGGCTTGGTGGTGTGGTGTAGGATTGAACATACATTTCTATGCTCGCCAAAGCTCAAAGTGCCGTTCATCATGTCGTCCTCCTCATCCCGACCCCTCTTCCGAGTGGGGTCCGGGAAATGCTGCTGAACTCCGAACATCATGAGACTGTCTTAAAAGTGTACTGTTGGTGGTTGTAGAAGAAATGCAGCCGACTAATTGGCGGGTAGCGGGTGAAGATGCAGCAAGCAGTGTTAGCGATGTCGGCTCTATATCTGCGTCTCGTGGGGATTCGTCAAATCTGGCAAATGTCGTCAATGTCGTCGTCGGATGGATGTAGAGGGAAGAAAGCGACGTCGTGCTGCCGAGTCGAGTCGAATGGATGTCCGAGTCTGATGCGCAGGGCAGTGGCTGCTGCCAAGTTCCCCCGGACTGAAGGTGCCGGGATTGGCGGGGGTTGGGACTGTCCCTCGGAGCGGGCTGGCTGGGCTGGATGGGCTGGGCTGGGTCGTGGTGGCAGGCGCAGACAGGCTGCAGGCAACGTCCGGTCCAGTGGAGGTGGAGGAGGTTGCAGTTGCAGTTGCAGTGCGGGCACGCGCACACAATCAATCTCTCCAAGGCTCCAGCTGCAGGGAACCTGGAATATGCGGGAAAGCAGGTTCCACGGGGGTCGCGAGAGCGTCGATCTTTGCCGGCTATATTGGGGCGTTGGCCGTTGCGCGGGGCAGGCGAGGGAGGCTGAGTCGAGGGATCTTGTAATGATGTCGGTATCGGAAAGGAAGGCGAGTAGTGTCGACTGTCAACACCTCCTCAGGCAAGTGAGGTAAGATCGCGTGTCGAGGGATTCGAGTTTGCGCGGTGTAAGTCGTATAAGTAAGTCGCACCCAAAGAGGCAAGGTTGGGTCCGATTTGCGCAGCTGCTGCGGTTTGGGGTTTTCTTGGCCAGGCAGGCAGGCAGAAAAATGATGTTACTCTTGGGGTAAGCACCTTTATGGACAGCTTCCTTCTTGTTTCTGTTCTTTCTTTCCAAGACTCGAATCGGCGAATTGGAATCTCTTGGAAGGAAAGGAGGCTAAGAAAAAGGCAAACCAGATTCCCGGAAGGAAGGGTGTTGCAGATAAAGTGGAAGCAGGTGGGAAGCCGCCGAAAGAAGAATGCAAGCAGCAGCTGCCGATGCTTAAGCAGGCAGGAAGGAAGCACCACAGCAGCAATGACAGCAAGCAGCAGTAGCGACCTCGACAGGCAGGCGCAGGTAAGAAGAAAAAAAAAAAAAAAAAGAGCAGCAAGAATGCTAAGGTGCGCCACAAAAGGGGGAGAGGGGAGAGGGGATCCAGGCCACTAAAAGAAGCCCCCCGTCAGTGGTAAGGCAGGGAACCGATGCGCTACGTGCCCCGTGCGGACGAGGTGCACAACCCGGCGACGGAAAGCCAATAGATCCCAACGCTCAAGCAGCCAACACGCACGCCGTCCAGGTCCTTCCCGGGCTAACGGCTTTGGGGCCACCACTGAGAGAATCGGAATGTCAATGATGGCAGTCTGGGCAGTCTGGGCAGTCTCTCACACAGTCTGGGAGTCGAGAGCCGGGCAGACGGGAGGGAGGCTAACGACGCGCTAGTTCCACGCTGCTGGAATCCAAACCGAGAGGGACGGGAGGGAGGGGTCCCGGATGACGGAATGCGATGCCGCCTTCTGCTGAAATAAGGTAACGGTGAGGCAAAGGAATGTTCAGGGCCGGCTTCCAAGGAATGTGAACGTGGTGTTTCTGTTGTTGATGGTCCTTCTCGAACCCGACGAGTGAGTCGTGTGCTTGCTCCCGTCGCGTGTTTCGTGGCGAGTCGTGGCGAGGAGGTTGGTGTCTCTCTTTATTGTGTCCCAAATTGGGAGGTTGGAATGGGATAATACGTCGTCGGCCAGCGGGTGTGTTTTTTGGTTGGTGGCCAAGTATTCAACCGCCGTACTACAAGGACTGCAATTGTCGAGCAAGACGATGCTTGGCGCGACTTCCGGGAAATAAAAAGGAGCGTTGGTTCGAGACGTCAAAAAGGACTGATGAACGAACGGACGTCCGCTGAAGAATAACGTCACAAAAGAAAAGGAAGAAGAGTTGTTGACAGATGGATGACAAGTTCTGCAACAAGCACCGCGACACCAGCACCAGGCAAGGGAGGGGGGGCGGCAACGGCAAGGACGCGGGGAATAGGACGTTGATCGGAGAAATAAAAAGGAACACACCCAGCAAAAAGGAAGACGAGGAGCGTTGTGAGATATAGGGCAAGGTGGCGTTAGAAACGAAAGAGGGCGACCAAAGGGCTCTTATTCCGACCCAGCTAAGATCCGAGGGGGACGGGGGGCATGTCTGTCGCCTTGACACACTGCAACAGCGTCGTTGTTGTAGCTATCGTTGTTCCTCGCCTGCCTCACATCTTCACTCACCAACACCAAACTCTCTCTCTCTTTTTCTTTTGACTCTGCTCTGCCTCAACTGCCGCTGGGAGCTATTCCTCCTGCTGTCCAATGCTCGTCACATCACTCCAAAGCTGTAACTTGCTCGCGCTCTTCGCGCTGACCCAGCAGCGAGGACCAGAATGGGATCTGAACCGGGACGGAGAGAGAACGTTGAACTACTAGGTCTACCCTATCCACCCAGCAGGGCTCGTCGTCGTGTGTCGCGGAATGGATGCCACCACCGGGCCTGCCAAATAAAGGATCTCTCGACTGCCAGAGATCTGTGCGCCGCCGCGGGAGCAAGGGTAATGTTCGTCCACGGCAACGACAGCGACAGCGAGCGACAGTGACTGGTGATGGATGACTAGCCTGCCCGACTGATGGGTGTGTGTGTGTGTGTGTGTGTACGTGAGCGTGTGTGTGTGTGTACGTGAGCGTGTGTGTGGGTGGACGGGTCCGTGGACGGACGACCTTGCCGCTGTCCGGCCATTTGCTGGTTCGTCCCGCCTACCCAGCGCCCGTCACATGCGGAGGGGCCCTGTCGATGGATGGCATTCAGCAACTGAGAAGGGAAAAAAAGAAAAAGGAAAAAAAAAAAGGAAAAAAAAAAAAAAAAAAGGTGAGGTGGTGGTGAGGGCGGTTTCAGGATTGCTTCATGAGGTGCCGGGGTGTGGTGGTGGGATGAAGAGTGGATAGGGCCCAAAGGGAGTTTGAGCGTTCGCCTACCCCAATCTAGCCTTTCTGGCTGCGATACGTCCAGTCGTGATCTGCCTACCCGCGGCCATGCTTGAAGGGGGGTGCGTAGGCAGGTTGTGAAGGCATAACAAGAGGCGAACTGTGAGTTGTGATGGGAACGGGGGGGACACGCAAACGCTGAGGTCATTCGTGATGGGCGCCGGCAACTGCCACCGAGATTGGGTTCGCGGCCGCAGTCAGCTAATATGCAATATCGCCTCGACTAACACACCTCTCGTGGAAGGGGGATGGGTATGTCACCAATACCAACAATGACTTGCAGCTCGACGATCATCTCTATTCTCATCGCACCCTGCGGCAATCCACAAGAACCAAGGCCTTATCCGCACACCGACCTGTTGCTCTCCTTTCCTTCCGCTGCGCCCCCCGTTACAGCATCCCGTCTCCTTCAACTTCACATCATCATCAACCTGCGGCCGCCCCGATTCTCGTCTCCTCCCCCCGTTCCTGTCAGTCTCAGGCCAAATTCCCCCAACAGCAGAAAAAAGCTTACAGGATACGAGCGAGTCACGCTGCCGTGCGTATCTTGAGTCGACGTGTTCTCGGTCCAAGCCTGCCGTAGACTCTGATGCCAAGAACTCTCTTTTTGCCGTTCACTCGCATCTTTCCGCACAGAGCAACCACTCTACCGGAATAAGCATACCCAGCGAAAGCCAGCTAACTCCGACCCCGCTAAGTGGGAGGACCTGGGAAAAAGAGCCGCAGCGCGTGTGCCCTGTCCCCAAACCACGTCCCCCCGCAAGTAGCATCCCTCTCCTAATACCACCTACCGGCTCCAAGGAGCTGTCTCACAAACGGCCAAAACGGGGGCCCAGCCCAACATGCCTGCCGCTTCCCAGCTGCCTGGGACGTCCAGCGAGACGAAGGCCAGCGCCTTTGTGAGCCCTCGGATTGGAGGTTTTACGATGTGATGCCGCCCTCGTTACTACGCTACGCAGTGATCCAGCACCAAACTGGAGGGCATCTAACGCTGCCAGCGCGCGCCTCCCGTCCCGTCCTCCGTCTCCTCGGGGTGCATCCCTCGGGACCGACTCGCCCACGGTTCGAACCCTCGAAAATGGCAAACGTTGAGACTGGGCACCGATCCAATCTCGCCAGCCAATAGATTGAGCTTTGACTTTGGGCGGAGGGGGGCCGTGGAGTGCGCGAACAGACGCTCAAGAGAAAGAATCTAAAAAGAACAGCAGAAAAAGGTCGTTATCGTTTGCCGAACCCCGAAAAGATGGTGGCATCTTCGCACTGGAAAGTCAAAAAAAAAATTGTTATTGGAGAGACAGAACAGCGGGTGGGTGCGCCGGAACTCTCCCCCCCCTGCTTGCTGCTTGCTGCTGAGTTAGCTAGGTGGTTGACGGACTTGACAACGATCCAAGGGTCTTTTCCACGCCCGGAAGTTCTAGACTCTCGGACCCTTTGCGCCAAACCAGACACTACCCAACGGCCCTTGGGGGAAATATTCTGCCTGCCCGCTTGCTGCCGAACCTACCTATCCCCCCGAACGCTGGCATCTGCGTGACGAACAAGATTGTTGATGATGTAAAGAAAGCTGCTGCTAATTCCGTCCACACAAAGCCAAGACTGCTGATCCGCGAAACCGAATGAAGTCTGTCGATCTGCGTGGCCTGTGGCCGCGGGTTCATTCAAAGTCGGGGGCCAAGACCGTTTCACCTACTTTTTTATCGCCCTTCGTCCTTGGATGTGACCTGCAGTCAGACAGAGGCTTCAGGGTCGCTGGGGTGGTTCTACGGCGGGGGGATATTCGGAGTGTTCTGGGGGTAAAGGGCGATCAGGGAGACGGACAGGCGGTGACTGGCATGCTTGGCTTGCTCGTGACATGATCCGACTTGCTGACGCTCGGTGGACCTTTTCTGCCCGCACTGATCTTCTTGGAGGCCTTGAATTTTTTGGGGGAGGAGCCCGCGTTGGCCGGGGTTCAGCTTGGTCCGGGCGGGATTCATGTCTCGGTGTCGTCGGTGAGGCTACGATGAGTGTGGGTATGGGGCTCTTCCTCGGTGGGGCTTCGGTGAGAGAGTCGACATTCTTCGTCTCTTGCGGTGCCATGCCATATTGCGGTGCCATGCCATAGTAATTCAAAGCCATCGATGTATTGTCCTTACTGGCATAAAATAAGCCATATATCAGGTTGAATTGACCAGACAAAGTGACACTGGACGCGACGACAAGCCATCTGTCTGTGGGAAGATAGAAAAAACGTCATTACAGCCACGTCTCTCCTGACCAACGAACTGCATCAAGTGGTCATCCTCTGATTGGTGTTCGTATGTCAATAGCAATTTGAATTGTTTTATTCCTTATAAGTAGTCTCTAACGGCCATATGGTGTTTTGAAGAGTGTGATCAGGGCAGCAATTCTTCGTTGTGAAGAGCCTTAGGATTCTGCAGGTGGGCTATGCACCTTGAAGATATTGGAAATACTTTTAATATTCAGTAACTGAATCATAATTATTCAGCTTCGTTCAATTCTAGCTTTGTTTCAGCATAAGTACCTTTGCCAAGTTTATGAATTTGATATGGTGACCTGCTTCGAACATTTATTTTGAAAATAAACATTTAAACATAAGCAAAAAAAAGCTCCTTTAGTAGACAACACCAGCACCTCTAAGACTTTCCTTCATTCACTCAACTGATACAATCACCAGGTATAAATATCAGGATCGTCGTCCCGCTTTCGACATTAAACTCGTTCTCGTTACTTTTGGATTTGTGCTCTGACTATTTACCCTGAACTGATGGCCACAAAGGCAAAACACCACCACTGAGTTATCATTTCGTTAATCCATTACGTATCATTTGTTTGGAGACATGATTCACTTTGAACCTGTGTATATGTGCGGCTTGTGAATTTTCTCAACCCGTTGAACTACGTTGGTTGCGTGTCCGTCGGGCCTCGAAGCAACGAAGAAAACAATAGCAGTCAAGGCAATTAGACTCAATCCCGAGTTTTTGCTCCTTCAAGATATGTCTATTGCTAAGACTGCCTAGAAAATACGCCCGGCTTCGAGTTCATTGTGGCTACTTTGTTTGGTTTCATGCTTGAATAAAGCTTCCAATGACAACAGGTCACGATGCCGATGCCGATGCCAATACTAATGTTCCCTTTCAGAAAACATCAGTGCACAAATCAATCCTAAGACGTGTTGAGAAAGTAATTGAGTCAACCCATTTTTCGGAAGCTCTCCATTAGAGGCGGCATCCCAGAAGCTTAATGAGATCATAGAGTTCCGTATCAAAGCAGAGTCTGAACCCCGCACCACTCCAAGAGCGCCGACAACCTCTCGGCTCATCTGAACAGCCTCCGGCATCCAAACCGCAAGCATCCTGCAGCTGCTAATCTGCAGTGCAAACCGTCAATATGGGCTGGGGCGGCAACCTCTACGTCGTCAACGCAACCCCGTACACATGGACACGCGTTTATCAACCCGCGCCAGGCGCCGGCGATATGAGCGCCTGGCATATGCCATCAGTAATTGACCCAGGCAAGTCACGGCCCCCATATTGCAGGAACATCACCTAACATGCGGTTAGGGGAACTGGTCAAGGTCTACGCCGAATTCAGAACAGCAACAACAAACGACTGGGGCCTCACGCAGTACTCCGTCGGGACCGCCTTCTATCCCGCAATCGAAATCGGCATCAACGGCTGCGACTTCGGCAAGGGCAGCTACTATCTCCACCTCATCTCCATCTCAACCCTCGGCAACCCAAAAGGCACCAAAATCACCACGCCGTTCGTCCACAACGGCAGCGCGTTCCTCTTCCTCGGCGGCACCGAGGGGGCCTTCGTCTCCTCAAACCCGCCGGGGCGGACCTGGATGCGGGACACCCTTCCCGTCATCGGCCACCAGTCCCTGCGGACGACATGCCTCCTCGGGTCCCACGATGCGGGTATGAGTCTGGACCGGCTGGCGACCAAGACGTCGCCGTTCGTCACGCCCGCGAACGTGCAGACGCAGACGCTGGACGTAGGCGCGCAGCTTGCCAGCGGCGTGCGGTTCTTCGACGTGCGGCCGGTGGTGTCCGGCGGCGCATACTTCACGGGGCACTACAGCAATACGAAGTCGCCGCTGCGGTGGCAGGGCGCGAACGGGGTGTCGGTGGCGGAGATTGTGGCCCAGGTTAACGCCTTCACGGCCGCGTGTGCGGAGCTCGTGATTCTGGACATTTCCCACGCGATCGATACGGACGATAGGTACGAGAACTTCACGCAGCGGCAGTGGGATGTGTTATTCGACATGCTCGCGGACCCTGTGACTGGGTTGAAGAACCTGTTCACCGCGCCTGCTGGAACAAGGGATCTGACAAAGTTGTCGATGAACCAGTTCATCGGCGCCGGCAAGGCAGCGGTGGTGTGCCTCATCCAAGCGGACCGGCACATCCGCATTCCCAAGAAATACGACGGCAGGGGGTTCTACATGAAGCACGCCTACTTCCCGGTCCGCCCGTCCGTGGCGTATTCGAACACGGACGACGTGCGGTTCATGATGTACGACCAGCGGCGGAAGCTGGAGCGGTACAAGACGCGGAGGGAGGATCCCGTTGTGGAGACGAGCTGGACTCTGACGCAGGTGACGGGCGCGGAAGCCGCCGGGTTCGGGCCGTCGATTCTGGAGCTTGCGTTCCGGGCGAGGAATCAGTTGTTCCCCAACTTGTGGAGGTTTTGTACGGACGACTCGTTTCCGAACTTGATTGCGCTGGATAATGTCGATTCTACGGAGTATCTGGCTTTGGCGATGGCTGTCATGTGGCGGTTCAGTCTAGGTGGGAAAGGGAGGAGGGCGGATCATCATCTTTGACGACGGTTGACTGCGGATCATACGAGCGGAACAGCAGTTGCGATTTGGAACGAGTCCTTATCAGGTGCCTCGGACGATGTTTCTCGAGCATGTAATCTCACCATTTCTCTCACATATTGTCACTACTGCCCTGTGATAGGTTCTTGTAAGGAGCACTCGTTGATTTAAGGTATTCAACGGTCCTAGTCCACGTCGAACCAAGAACTGGATAAAGTGCCGTTTAGATTTCGCGAATGAGATCCCTCAGAGCGAGTCCACATCTTTCCGAGGGCGGAATATCGCCGCACATCTTGAGGCACCGGGCGGCACAGAGCGGAGACACCAAAATTGCTCACCTCGAAAACACCGGGACTGGCCCCGCTTATCTCGGTCTGTTTCGCTGAGTCACGGTGAAGAAACCTCAATTGGCCAATCAGGTGCGTCTCATTCACAAGCGGTCTCGCTTCCGTCCAAACGGCCCAGTCTTAGATCCTGGATGCAAAATATGGACTCCTGCAGACATCAAAAGTCTGTCTTCTTTAGCAGACAGCCTTGATTCGAGTGATCAAGGCATTGTCTAACGCAGAACTGACCTGTCTCTGTGAGCAGGTCTTCACGGCCGCAACCATTGGCAACATTTTCGAGCACAAAACCCAAAGACAGAGATAGGCTTTTCTCATACCCTCTTAGCGGCCGAGATACGCCCAGTGCCCCTCCATCTGCCCCGCCATCGGCCAGGCGTCCTGACTCTCTCCCTCGACCGTTGTGCGTCACCGCAGGAGGCGGAATGTCCCAAAATCTTCGCCAACGGCGCATCTCTGACGTCGGGAGGACCCAGGGCGCGCACAATTGCCTCAATTGAGCCAAATCATGCCACCATACAGACGAGAGGCATTTAACATTGTGCCCACCGCAAGGGCTGAATCTCGACAGCAATGGTGACATGACCGGGACGCACGTGGAACCGCAGAGAGACCGGAGGCGCCCTTTCAGATACAGTGTGCATTACACCGCATATTGGAGCAAACATTGGAGGAGGAGGGGTACCTTTCCGCGGAAGTTTTGCTCAAAAGATACTTGGCCACGCAGCCAACTGCCGGCGGGCGTGCCTCCGAACGTGCCCCGGGAGGACTGAGAGAAGAAAAAAAAAATCGAGCAGTTCCCCCCCAAAACTCCATACATCACACAAAGAGCGGAAGGAAGGGAAAAAAAGAGGCATCTTTTAAATTACATCCTCACACACAACAGCTCCAAAACCTCCCAATTACTGCAATCCACTTTTCTCTGCCTACCTTACCCTCTGAGTCACACTCCCAGCTGCTTCTCCCCCTCCAAAAAGGCAGCCCCCTTCCCCTGTGGACGAACATTCATCCTCCCTCCTCGGTCACCGACGGCTCAAGCAGCAGATCCCACCGCACACGCATTTCCGCACCCACGGCGAACCGGTTCCGCACGAACAGACGAGTAGACGGGCCTGGTTAATTGTTTTCGCAAGTCCAATGTAAGCCGTTGCCTGAATTCTGACCTTTCCGATTGGCTTCTGCCAGAAAGCTGTTGGCTTTGCTTGCTTTACCCCGGATTCTCGTCTGTTGCCGCTGTCTGGCGTGCCCGGGGATGCGCGGGACGATGTGCCACTCTCACGATACCCCGCGATGGGACGAAGAAACGACGTGCGGGCGGGCAGCGATATCTGCATCTTGCCATTGAACGAATCGACAGCTAATTGACTTGCTGCAGTTTTTAGATACCCCTTTTTCATCACCAAAATCACATCAAAATGCCTGGTCTCGACCTTCAGCATGAGCCCCTCGCGGCTGACGACGTGAGAAGTGAGTCACCTTTTTTTTTTCTATCGTCGCTCTCGAAATCTGAACGAACCCACTTTACAACGTCACTCCATTCATCCTTGCCTGTCTCTCTGCCCCACACCAATCACTCTCATCATCAACATGCCAATCGTCCTCGCGACGACACAAACACCACACCGGACTCAACTCCGCCAGCCTCACCTCCAAACCTCACCATCCGCATCAACATCCGCAATGGCTAACGTACCACCACCACGACAGTCCTGGGCCAGGACCCCCTCATCCCGCCTGCCCTCCTCTCCTCCGAGATCCCCATGACCGACACGGCCCTCCAGACCGTCGTCCGCGGCCGCAACGAGGCCGCCGACATCATCATGGGTAAGGACGACCGCCTCCTCGTCGTCATCGGCCCTTGCTCCATCCACGACCCCGCCACCGCCCTCGAGTACTGCGCCCGCCTCAAGGACGTCTCCGCCCGCCTCGCCGGCGACCTCTGCGTCGTCATGCGCGCCTACCTCGAGAAGCCCCGCACCACTGTCGGCTGGAAGGGCCTCATCAACGACCCGGACATCGACTCCACCTTCAAGATCAACAAGGGCCTGCGCGTCAGCCGCACCCTCTTCCGCGACCTCACCTCCGCCGGCATGCCCATCGCCAGCGAGATGCTCGACACCATCTCCCCGCAGTTCCTCGCCGACTTCATCAGCGTCGGCGCCATCGGCGCCCGCACCACAGAGAGCCAGCTGCACCGCGAGCTCGCGAGCGGTCTGTCCTTCCCCGTCGGCTTCAAGAACGGCACCGACGGCAATCTTGGTGTTGCCATTGACGCCATTGGTGCGGCGGCGGCGAAGCACCACTTCATGGGTGTCACGAAGCAGGGCCTGGCTGCCATCACCCGCACCAAGGGCAACGAGCACGGCTTCGTCATCCTGAGAGGCGGCTCCCACGGTCCCAACTTTGACAAGGAGAACGTGCAAAAGGCCAAGGAGACGTTGACGAAGAAGGGCCAGAAGCAGGCCATCATGATTGACTGCTCCCACGGTATGTTATGCCCACCCTTTGGAAAGGATTAGAGACTTTGAATACTGACTGCGACAGGCAACTCCAACAAGGACCACCGCAACCAGCCCAAGGTCGCCGCCGTCATCGGCGAGCAGCTCAGGGAAGGCGAAAAGTCCATCATCGGCGTCATGATCGAGTCCAACATCAACGAGGGCAACCAGAAGGTCCCCGCCGAGGGCCCCGCCGCGCTCAAGAAGGGCGTCTCCATCACCGACGCCTGCATCGACTGGGACTCGACCATCAACGTCCTTGAGGACCTCGCCTCCGCCGTCCGCGCCCGTCGCGAGGTCAACGCCGGCACTGCCAACGGCAACGAGGAGAGCCACAAGGTCACCCACCTCGAGGAGGAGTAAAGCGTGAGAAAAAGAACTTGTGAGGCAGACAGGGGGAAATGTGCGGGAGACAGAAGAAAGAACATACCAATGTGTGCATGGCATTTGCATTTCGAGGCTTCAGGAGGGAATAGTTTCAAAAGTCATCTTTTCGAGTTCATGGGTTTTGGTGCATGGGTAAAATGATGCTTGCATCCCCCGGTGGTGCCCGGGACGTAGGAGAAGATAGATAGCTTTGCTCAACATGGCTTGCATTTTCTCCATTCACTCGACTTTGCGTGATGTACGATACCATGATCGAAAATGCCTCCGATGCCCATGACCACGCCCCGATACCTTGGCCGCGCTACCGTTCCCATCCATAACGCCATTTCCGATACCATGTAAAATCAATTCGTCGCCGGTTGCAAAGGGCTGTAGTCGCCCCGGCCCCTCCCCGCCTGCGCTGCCTCAGCCTGCCTCTTGCCCTCCCGCAGCTCCTGCGCGCGCTTGAACGCCGCCCAGCCCAGCAGCCCTGTGGTGCCGAGGAGGAACCCCCAGACAATCACCTTGTCCTTGTTGCTGTCGCGCTGGAAGCACATGGTCTGCACGTTCTCCTCCGTCGCGTCGCGGCAGAAGTCGATGCCCCGCGAGAGGCAAAAGGCCTTGGTGCACTGCGAGCAGGACGAGGAGGCGGCGCGCTTGGAGTCGCGGTGGAGGTCTGATGAGGGAAGGTCTCGTGGAGGATTGGCGGCCGTGTTGTCATCGCTGTGCTGGGGGCCTAGGGCGACGATTGTGCTGTTCTTGAAGCAGGTGCATTTGCAGAATGTTGGTGCTGCTTTGGGGGTGTTAGTAGTCATTGCGCGGGAGCGGAACGCGGGAGAATGTACAGTTTGCGCTAACTAGAGCGACAAGCCCGCAGAGGAGCAGAAGTATGAGTGATAATCGGTTCATTTTGGCGGGGTTCTGGTCGAGATGCCGCCTGCGTCGCAAAGCAGCCGAGGATTGAGGTTGTCGCCGTCAAGGGCTGAGGCTGATGCTGGTCGCTGACTAGTGCACAAGCCACACGCCGCCCGCCAACAACCCCCCGTGGCACACCCAATTGTGGCTGGAGCTCTAGCACTCTGATTCGCCAGTCCGATCCAGCAAAAAAGTTCAATTGCGAGCTCCCTCTATCTCGATCGTCGTGCTGCCACTCGGGAGACCTCCAATTGCCCAACGCCGCACCCATAGCACAACTCGCCACGATGCGCAGGGCAACGCGCTTCGGTCAGCCTCTGCTGACCGCTGCATCAGCACCGCAATGTACATGCGCCCCCGCTACACTCCCCATCGCTGCCCGCCGAGCGCTCTCGACGACGTCTACGCTCCAGGAGGGCGTCCGCGACCGCGTTCGCAAGGCCCTGTGGAAGGGCGGCGACGCTCCTGGCCCCGAGGATCCCTACGCCGTTGAGGAATCCCAGCTGTCGAAACAGGAGCAGATCGAGGCCGACATCGCCGAGGCCAATGCTCAGTTGGCCGAGTTCGAGGCCCAGTCCAAGGCCCAGCCCAAGAACAGAGTCATCCGGACTCTCCGGCCGCGCAAGTTCCTGAAGCGTCGCCCAAACAGCAAGCTCCGGACGAGTTTCAAACTAACGACGGCACCGACTGAGAGGGACCTTGAGGACATGAAGGAATACGAACCCGCTATGGAGGGCGGCGGCCTGGAGACGGTTGGAGGCATGGAAGGGTGGTGGGAGAGGTACGGCCGCTGGGGCAAGGAGAGCCAGTTGCCTCCCTTGGCGCGGAAAAAGGTCATCAAGAACAAGGACATCTGCGAGGTGTTTGCCAGGGTGGCCATCACCGAGGCGCTCATCGTGGCGCGCGTGGACCCGGCGTCGGCGGCGGGCAAGTGGAACCCGTTGACGGCCAAGGACATGAGGCGGGCGTTTGCGTTTGGCATCAAAGTATCCGAGGACGGCACTGGAGTTATCCTCGGAGGAGAGAGAAACCAACAGTCTGTGCCGATGAAGCTGCATAAACCGCAAGAAGGAGTCGAGCCAAAGGTGAACGTTTCTCCCGAGGAGGCCAAGAAGCTGGTAAAGTCCTGGGACAGTGAATGGAAGAAGGTCTCTCTTCGGGACGCCGTCGTCAATTTTGCAGTAAGTTCTGCCTCGTTCTCAACAGTTCCTCACTGAAATGCCTGACCGTCTCTAGTTCAACAAGCGCTTCAACCAACTGACGGGCCACTCCACCCACGACGGCAAGCTGGTGCAGCTGAAGACCGTCGGCAACTTCCTCGAGGATATCGCCAAGCCTCCCAAGCCCGTCAACGTCAAGGTCGCCGAGGCGGTCCAGCAAGAGGGCAGCCTGCCGGCGCTGGCCAACGTCGCGCTGCACGAGCGCCGCGTCACGCCGATCGACAAGGAGACGGCGGTTGGTCGGTGGAAGGTCATCACGAAGGAGCTCGAGAAGAGATCGCTGCCAGTCACCGGCCACGAGCATCTCCCCAAGCCGGTCCAGAGGAAATGGATCCTGGGCCAGGCGTAGGGGGCGGTTGGATGTGGTATCCTGGGATGACGATACGAAAAATAAGGGAAACACAGCGGAGAGGAATGTGTCTGGCATAGACCCTTGTACAGATAATGTACTCTTTGTAACATATGGAACATCATCGATTCTTGCTCTAGGTCTGCCATGGTTGTCTTTGCTGTGGCATGTCGATTGGTGCTTGTTATGGCAGCTTGTGGGCATCAAAGTGCATTGAGTAAGGGCCCTCGACCTTGATTAGATGCCTGATCTTCCCGGCAGGTGCTCTCTTGCCTCACAGCACCATCGATGACCACTGTTGCCCTGGACACAGGGAATTGGGATGCACAACAAAGGCACCTGCCAAATCGAAGCTGCTCCTTCTGTTCCTTACACCTTCCAACTCCCGAGGCGAGCACCTTGTGTTTCTTTCCTCGATCGACTCCTCGTGAGGTACCTCACTCATCCCTCCTTCATCCTTCCTCTCGCCTTCCCTTCTATCTACCCCGGCGGGTTGCCACGCAGTTTCGATTTCTTTCATCTCCTCCGCATCCTCCTCCTTCCCCGCGTCGTGATCATCGTCATTGTCATCATCGCCGTCTCCCTTAAGATGCCAACCTTGCCGCCGTACCTGCGCGGCTACCCGGCCGAGCAAAGACGTGACGCCTGGCTACAGTGGGCTTTTGAAAACATTAGCCCAGTCTTCGAGCGCTTCCCCGGAGAACGCGCTTACGTCGTTTTCCAGTTGGAAAATCTCGAGTGGATAGGAAACTGCGGCCTTCCTCCCGCCAACAGCGACTCGGACGCCTGGTGTCGCCTCAAGCAAACCTGGAGTCCCTCAGAGCCACCTCCCAAGGGAACCATTCCCTCAGTGGCCGACTGCGAGGTCGTGCGTCTTTTGAACAAGGGCTACGTTCACGAGTATATCGAGCTGAACCTGAGGAAGCACGGCTGGGATCCCTACAAGTGCTGCGATCCCTCTCTCAAAGTCGAGCAGAAGAGACTCAACGCTCCTTCCCCAGCGAAACCTTCTTCCTCGGCGGCGGCGACTCCTGCTTCGACTGGTGTTCGTTCGTCTGCGGCGGCTTCTTCCTCCAAGACAACTCCTTCATCCACGACAGCTTCTTTCTCCACGACAGCTCCTGCCTCGAAGACAGCTCCTCCCTCAAAGACAACAGGAACTGGGGTTCCCACCAGTGGAGCGACAACCGGCGAATTACGTGATCGCTTGATACGTGCCATGTCTTCGCCCTCCCGAGGTGCTTGGGCACCTGCACATGGGACTTCCTCATCTGTTCGAGGCACGTCATCGCCGGTTCAAAGCATTGATTCACCCGGACGCGCATCCCCTTCACCCATTCGTGGCGGTTCCCCATCAGGTCGCGGTGGAAGAGGTCCAGGTACCAGTGGACGGGCTGGCTTCGTTTCTGGACGTGGCGGCCTGTCACCAAGACCGTCTCGGCCTACGGAGACTACTCCTTCTACGCCAGTGTTGCCGAAGCCAACACTTTCTTCCCCTTTCACGCCCCGGACAAGACCGATTGTCAAAGAGGAAGGCACTGCTCGACCCACACCTTCTCCTGCTGTGCCAGTGAACCGGAACGCTGGTGTCGGATCCACTCGATCTCAGAAGCCTGCCCAGACAGCCCAAAAGGCTCACGCGTGGACACCCACGTTTGGATCGATGCCGGCTTCTTCCCAAGCCACACAATCCAACTCGACCAAGTCGACGACAACTCCTGCAACCGGCTAGAAGCCGTCTGGAAGCACGTTCGGCGGAGAGAAGGGCCTTGGTGGACAGGGTTGTCTCTTCGGGCAGCCCGAAACCCCGAGCCTAAACAAACCAACAGCCTTCAACACGTCTGTCTCCGAGGGTAGAGTCTCTGGAATAAAGAATGCTGGTGGAAGTTCCACCGAAAATAAAACGAAGCGTCATGCCTCTCCGGGACACGAAACCGGCAACCCAATGGTCGGAAAACACGACACTCCGCCTCGAGGAGTACCTTCGTCTTCCAAGCCTGTTGTCAGCAGCGGGATTCCCGTCGGTGGCAGCAAAGGTAGTGTTGGCGCCCGTGTCATCACGAACCCACCGCGTGCAGATAATCCGTCCAATGCTGTCCAAGATCCTGCCACATCATGCGATGAGCTGGAAGGAGACTCGTTTGGAAGACATCCCCGCGGTGTTCCTCTGGCAAACGACTTGACTCCGCAGAATGTGAAACGGAATCTCCAATTTCATAACAGCCAGTCGCGGCCGGCGGCCGAGAAGGAGAGTAAGACACAGTCTCCAGCCAGCGCGAAAGTTCAAACAACAGTCACACCGAAGGAAGAGCACCTTCGTCCGAATGATGATCTACACAAAAACAACATCGAGAGAATGTCGGCCAAACTTTTCAAGAGTTCTCGCCCAACTCTCCATGCTTACCTCCGTGACGAGATCGAGGCCATGTCGAAAACCGTTATGGGCAACATGAGAAAGCGTACTGTTGAGGTGCTCGGCCGTCAATCAAACTCTCATCTCGGATTCGCTACTCTTCGAGACGTCGAAGACCTTACGCTCGCAATGATGGAAGCCGAGATAAAATCGGTGAGGAAAGCTACCTTGGAACAGATTGACAAGCTCGACAAGCAGGGCTCAGATGTCCCGATCAAGCGCGAAGCTAGCGAGTTCGAGGAAGGAGGAGTCGCTGAACATGCTCGAGAAGCCAAGCGCCAGCGCACCTCCAGCAGTGCCAACTCGCAGGATTGTATTCAGTCATGATAAAGCCTGGGGTCCAGGGGTGTGTAGAGATACAGGGACTTGCACCATGACAGTCACTTACGTATGATACTTGAGAGCGGCGAGACAAAAGTTGGAGGATGGAGTTGCAAGGTCAGCCGTATTAGCAACCGCAACAGCATGTTGGTTGCTTAGAAAGTCTGCAGGAAATGAAACAATCTTCTCAGATCCAAATTCAACATCCGTGTAATTGTTGCCAGCCTTCACTAACGTTCAACCCAGGGACCTGTCTATATAAGCTGCTTCCATACCAACTGACCCGCCGGCTTTCAATTCTTTTGGCACCTACTGGCAAACCCTTTCGGCTTCCAATGCGGGTAACAAAGGTGAGAAACGAGGTCATATATGGCCCAGCACTGTTGATATCAAAGCTTAAGACATTAGTCTCGATTCTCCAGCTCAGGGGATGACCAGCTCAATAGGCTGTCACCGACCCTGCGCGACCCTATCTCTCGCACCTAGATGGCCGTCTATTCTTGTGGCCGACGGGATAATCTACGCGCGACGGTCCTCCTTGTGGGTCCACATGACCGAAACGTGCCGGCGCCGCCGGCTGGGCTTTGCAACGCCTGTTTCGGCCGGCTGTGGCTGGTCAGCAATTGATTAGCCAAGACCTGGGAACGACTAAATATAATGAACGGTAAAGCGAGAATGGGCAAAATTAAGGTCCGCGTTTAAGTGCTCTGGAGTACTCCGTCAACGCGAGTACAGATGAACACCGTCGCGGAGCGAGTACAATTGGTCGGCGATCTCAATGTCCACAATTTAAAAGAGTTTGTCTTGAGTCAGTGGCACATAGCATGATAGCAGGCGATTATATCGCCGCCGAGTTGTACAACTCTCTTGGAATATCTATAAAGCAAGACTTTCCCTTTTGTGTTCATTTCGGTTGGTTATCGCAGTTGATCACCACAAGTCAATCGTTCCAACAGACAGACAAGATGCGCTACTTCTTCGCCCTCGCTACCCTCATCACCGCCGCTCTGGCGGTTGCCATCCCTGAGCCCCAGGGCAAGTGCAACCCCGACTTCAACTGCTGCACTTTCTCCGAGTCGGCGTGCAGCGAGCGCCTCCAGGCGTGCACCAGGACTTGCAACGTAAGTTTGATGTTCCGCCCAACGGAGGAAATCACCCAGACTGACTGTTATATAGGGCGTCACTACCAAGGGCATCTGCAACGACTTGGGCGCCGGCTCTCTTACCTGCGATACCGCTTAGATTCAAGCTATTGGTCTGGTGTTGGTGGAGTCGTGAGATCTTCAGCGTTAAGTGTACATATGGGAGGGTTTTTGCATCAGCGGCATCATAGCATGAAATAAAATACCGTAAAACCCAACATTGTGTTATTCCTTGATTTGTTTAGCGAGTGAAAATAGAACCGCTTCTTGATGGTTCAAGTTAAGCCCAACGCAGAGATTGAAAGCCCCAAAATCCACCACAAAGCTCCGCGCAACCCAGCATTCAACACATGATGCCGATGACAGCTTCAGCAGCTACACCCGCACTTCTCACAATTCCCCTGCCCGCAATCCGCGCTCTTCACAGGCTCACACTCCCCCTTGCCCTTGCACTTCCGCCAGTCGCCGAACCCGTCGCCCCACGCGGTCCAGCACCAGTGGCCGTTCTCCGGGTTGCACTTCTCCCAGCAGTACCCGTCGGTGCAGCCGTAGTTGTCGCCCCACCAGCAGTCGCGCGCGAAGACCGTGGCGTCCGTGGCATCCGCGGCGGCGTCGCGGGGGCTGACGAGGGACAGCGGGTGTTCCTTGCACTTGCGGATGTCGGCGGGGCTGATGCCGGCTTGGGTGGCGGCGTCGGTGGAGGACATGACGCCGAGGGGGCCGCATTCTTCGGCGGCGGTTGGGGCGGGGCCGGCGGAGGTGAGGGAGAGGTGTGCGGCGAGGGTGAGGAGGGTGGTGGTGGTGAGCTTCATTATGGGCTTATGGACGCTCGGGGTTGCTCTTCGGTTAGAGATGGCTTGCCTTTGGGAAAGAGACAGAGTTATGGTCGATATTGGCTGAGGCTGGCTTGTACTGAAGGCGTATTCTGCTGGTGGCTTCATTCACCCTGTGGCAGGAAAATTATCTGAGCCTTTATAGATAGATCTTTGGTCTTGTCCAGCATGCAGCTTTTCTTTTCTTTTCCTTTCTGCTGCAAAGTGATTCACAAGTTCTTCATCGAACGAACGCCGAGTCTATGGATCGTCTCTAGCAGTCTGCATCCCGAGTTGAATAGCCTACTGAAGTGAAGGCGTGGCACGTCGTAGTCGGACGGATGTTGTGGCCGGTTGAACCAGGCTCTGGATCTTGGAGGAAGAGTTCTCCATACGGGCGACATCTCTGGCTAACGGGGCAGAACATGTGTTATTCCTACCTCTTCTATGTCTACTTGTGGCTATGTAAAAGCCAGTAAGGGTTCTCTTTGGTCTGTGGATGTCTGCTGTTTGCCGTGAGCAACCGATGACAACATGCCCCTTGCGGATGACAACATTGCCCGTGGGACCCGAATCAACAACTCCCTAACCTTTTCGCATCAGCACCGGGAACAATCGCCAACGGCATCGCATGTCAGGCTTACTTGACGAATCCTTCGTTATGTCTTCATCCATACATTTCTAGCCGAATCTGTCCAACGTTGTCAAGCCGTGAACGAAGTTGCGGTGAGCCTACCATGATTTTCTCACGAAAAATCCTGGATGGCCGGCCTCTCTAGGACCCGATTCAAGAGGACACGGCCGCGCAGCAGATCCCATCATCCACTTGGAAGTGCTGAGATACACGGCTCACCCCCTGTCACGAGGTTCCAATCCAGGTATGTCGAAACCAACATCTAGCAAGCTGCAAAAGCCACATCAACCTGATCCCTAAAACCATATCACCGGAGACCACTCCGGAATACGCAGAGAAAAACCACCACTTTCATGCAACGAGCCCAGCCCAGTGCATCCACACTGTATGTCAAATCAGACCCCTGGCTTCAGCTGTCCGCTAGCGCAATGTGATGTGCTGCCCACCCCCAGCACTGGTGAAGATCCCATCTCGCGTCGCACGACGCACCGCTAGGCGCACTTGGTAAGGCTCGTGATTGGGCCCCGGGGAGGTGTTTGCACCCCAACCGGCAATGGGGCAGAAAAAGCAAGTAAAATGGGGAAAGGCGTCGACGGCCGCGTCAGGCCCCTTTCAGCTCTAGGCCCTGTGGTCGAAAGGACAAAATACACCGGACACGAGATAGCGAGGGGTGATTGACAGAAATGATTAGGTCTCCCACGTGGAAGAGCTGTCTAGCGCTGTCTGGCTTTGACAAGATCACTAATCTGGCCGGAGAGGAAAGATATCGAGGAAATGCGTGGGCAGACTGATGATGGGCTATCTCCAAGTTCAGCAGGTCGTTTGAGCGTCTGTCGACATGCTGCAGCCACGATGATGCCGCAGTCGACTGTAGCACGCACAAAATGCAAAGTCTGAGCAACAATGCCGAATACTGTGTAAGGCTCATCATAGGGGGACAATATCTATCTGACGGCAGTAGCGCGGTCTAGCCCCAAGTCAAATAGATCCAGGCTAACTGGAAACATGCCAGATTTTCGACTGTCTAACCCAAAAGTGCAAATCCCTTGTTCGGGAGCAAAGTCCGAATCCCCGCGGATTCGTCCTCAGCCCCAGGAGGATCTGGGACTTTTCTCCCTGTGCTTTCCCATCAGAATTTCCGCATCGTCTCATCGTAAAGTGCTAGAATACACATCTTGAACAGCATCAATCGATCGCGATGTCTGCAATCACCAGCTCGTACCCGGCTCTGTCGAGCATGGTGCAACCGGCCGTGAGCGCCGTGGTCTCGAGCGAGGACAACTGGAAGGGCAAAACAAGCCCGGCCGAGAGGAGGAAGATCCAGAACAGGCTCAATCAGCGGACGTGGAGTAAGTGGCACCCACCACATGCAACCTGCTTACTGTGCCTCCCTTCGTGGTGCCCCGCCACCGCATGCCCTCTGCTTATCATGGCCTCGAGATGAAATGGGAGTTGGAACGGTTCACTCACGCGGACATCGAAACGTATTAGGACAGCGACGGAAGGTGGAAAGACTGCGCCAAGGCCATGGAGCGGCCCGAGGCACTGGAGCAAGCATCTCGCCGACCGAGTCCACGGCCCTTGTACCGCGCAAGACCTCGTCGTCTTCCACCGCCTCCGAAGATACCTCTCCTTCCAGCGACGATGCGGAGACGTACATGTACACCACGGCCATGGAGCTCTCGCGCCCTAGCACGAGGCGCTCGAGGGCCAATGGGGAACGGTTATATGCCAAGCACGCGACGTTGATGGCGCTGACGTATATCGGACGCAGGCGGCAGCTGCTGGACCTGCAGGACGAGGACATGGACGAGCTGTACGACCTGTTCCTGATGAAGGCGATGCATTCCGGAACGGACCCAATGTCGGACTCGCTGATCCCGCTGGTGCAATTCAACCTCTTGCGGGGGCTGATGGAGAACATGAAGACGCTGGGGATCACGATGCCGATGGTCTGCGATGAGGACTGTGCGTCGCCGTTCGGGACGGACCCGCGGTATAACGTGCGGACGGTGTGGAGCTTACCGGTGTATCTGCGGCCGACGGAGACGCAGCTGACGGTGGTGCACCATCCCTGGCTGGACTTTTTGCCGCTGCCGCGTATGCGGGATAACCTTATCAAGGCGGACGGGAGCTATGACGACGAGGAGCTGTGCCTCGACATGATTGGCGACGGAGACGCGCCGTCCGGGAAGGGGGAGATGATTCTGTGGGGAGACCCTTGGGACCCGATGAACTGGGAGGTGACGGAGCTGTTTGTCAACAAGTGGCGCTGGGTGTTGGAGGGGTGCGAGGAGATGATTCGGTCGTCGAACTTTTGGCGGGCGCAGAGGGGGGAGAAGAAGATGCGGGTGAAGCTCCGGGGATGATGTGGCTTGCATCGAATGGCCACTCTTGTACCAAATTCCAACCCATTGTGTCGCGATACTCTGGGGCTTTCTTGTTCGGTTTTCTCCGAGGCACGTCTAGACTTGGTCAATGTATTGGCTACCTGTGGAATGGAAAAAACCTTGTCTCTGCGGCTCACAAACCACGTGGGTGTGCGGCTTTGTTGACTTCGATCGAGACCGCAGGGTACCTCATGGATGACAGAGACCTGGTTTCTGCCAAGACAGGTGGATTCATATACCGGATAATACTTGAATTCTCTATGCTTTTCGTAGGCCTCGATATCCATTGCCTTGCATGTCTTTTGCGGTCGGGGGTGTTGGTAAAGGTCGTCTCTCATGGTGCGCAGCTGGATTACCCCTTATCGTGTATTTTTGGCCATCCCCCAAATACAAAGATGGTTTCTGGATTTGCTCACAGATATTTGATTTTGTGAAGGATGTTTGATGGAAAAAAAGCTTGTAAGATGGAAAAGAGAAGTTGCCAGCGAGACCTCTCCAGGCAGGTGGTTTCCTAAAGTGACAAGAACCCAGCAAGGCAAGACCTCCAGTCGCGACCGCGACCTTCCTCCTTACCCCTTCTGAATTCACGTCGGTGCCTTCCTCTATCTCTTTCGTCTTTTTCTGTATCCGTCTTTCGCCATCGCTGCCTCTACCCCTCCTCACCACTTCCCACCGCCGCCTCTGTCTTTGCCCGTCGTCTTCCCTCTCTCTCGCCTTGCGCGTATTCGTCGCGATCTCTACCACAGTCTTCCTCGTCGACGCGGTATCCCGACTCGGCTTCTCTTCTTCTACCAACGCGCTTTTTTTCGTCTGCACAACAGTCGACGTCTCGAGTCTGCTTCTTCCACCTCAAGGTACGATGCCCTGCCGCGCTGTTTTCTTCTACCTACCTGCTGACCACGAATTTCCTACATCAGACGACCCTATGCGACCGCCGCCACCATGAAGAACAACTCCCTCTCCCGACTGCCCAACGAGCTCATCTGCTGCATCGTCAAATGCGCAAGCCAGAATGCCTTCCAGAGCAAGAGGGATCTTCTCAACCTGTGCCTTCTCAATTGGCAGATGTACCCTTTCGCTCAGCTCGAGTTGTACCGCAAGGTCGAGATCCACAGCATGAGGGCCTACGACCTCCTTACCCGAAGCTTCATCGAGAATCCGAGCCTGCGCAGCTGCGTGAGGGAGGCACACATCTCTGTCGCCGGCGGCCGTTTCGATCGTTGGGCTCTGAACGTTTCATCCTGGACCAACCAAGAGCTCAATATGACCAACCTGTGCGACACCGACCGCAGCCTCGTCATTCTTTGCAAAACCCTGTGCGGCATCGGATCCCCCAAGGAAAACTCGCGCAGCGTTCTTGCCCTGCTTCTCATCTTCCTTGATCGGGCTGAAGAGGTTAGGCTTGAGGTCAACTCCTATTGTCGCCCGTCAACTCGCGTCGTTATCGCATACCTGGATATGCTATCCCCGCCCTTGCCGTCGTCGTCGTCCTTGCCCTTGTTGTCGCCGTCGTCGCCGTCGTCCTTGGCCGTCGTCCCTCGCAGAGCTCTGTTTCCATCTCTGAAAAGCTTCTCGCTCACTGGCTTTAGCCTCCCGAACCATGCGGAAAATGTCTTTGGCCAGCCGATCAGCGTCCTCACCCCTCTGCTGTCCGCTATCAATCTTACCGACTTGCGTCTTATAGGCGATACCCCTATATGGGATGCGCTCGCAGACCCCGACATTGCCAACATCCAGCTTCCCCTGAAGACATTGACACTGGATTCAAGCAGTGCTGACGGAACCGGCCTCTGCCACCTGCTTAAGCGCTGCCCGAATCTCAGAAGACTGAAAGCCTCCATCAAGAGCCCTCGCCGGAATGGAAGATCAAACATCAACACAGTCCTTCCACAATCATGCCCTCAGCTGAAGGAACTGTCCCTGAACACTCAAGGATACAACCGCTTCTTTGGAAACACATGGGTCGTAACCCCAGGCTCAACTAAGCACATCACTTGCCTGCCTCAGATGCACAACCTCAAAGAGCTCCGTATCACCCTCGACTGTTTCTTTGACACTCCAGCCAACATTGAACTTTTGGGATCGAGCTTCCCAGACTTGCTGGCTCCTCGACTAGAGAAGGTTTTCATCGACGCCACGTGGTCCTTGCTCGGGGTCCACGGCCGGATCACAGCTAGCCACCCGCAAGTCATGGCCTACAAGAAAGGAATCGAGAAGATGATTAACGCTCTTTGCATTGCGTCCAAAAGCCAGCTACCTTGTCTTAAGGTCATCGCTCTGGGTGCCAAATACGGAAAACCCAGGCAGTGGACAAAGGATGCGCGTAAGCTGCTGGCAGGAACGAATGTCAAGCTCAAGCTGGTGACTGGGAATCATACAGGGCAACTTTGGCATCAAACTTGGAAACAGATGCTGGAAGTATGAGGACGAGGATGACGAGGGGAGGGGAGGAAATGCGTATGTTGCTTATTCACCACGACAACTTCGGGTCGTTGCTCTAGATATAGACGAATTCATTGCTACCACTTGGTTCTCAAGCACTGCCCTCGTGCCCCGTGAAGTCTAGATCTAATGCTGAAGGATGGCGACGACGATGATGACGGACGATGACGATGACGGACGACGACGACAACGATGGGGGATGAAGACGACGATGGGGGACGACGACGACGACGACGACGATGACGGGGGACGATGACGGGGGACGATGACGGGGGATGAAGACGACGACGACAACAGAAACGACAGAAACAAAAGGACCGACAGGGACAATCGAGCCGACAAAAGCAGAGATGTGAGAAGAATGACAGAGACCAGAGAGACCGTAGGGACGATAGACAAAACTATCACAGGCATCAGAAACAGTAAAGTACCTGACCCAAAAGCCACAATCATGACCAGACTTCGTCAACGGGGTGACTAATCGCCATGCATTCAAGCCACCAACGCCCGAATTTTTGACTCAAAGTCAAGCGATCCATCCCTTCCAAGCCAAGCCCGCTTCGACACCCTTTTCAAGAAGGTGGAAATGACAGGATGCGGGGTTCTGCACGGAAGCGTAACCGAGACTGTGCCGCAAGGTACGACGCACGAAATACGAAGGATTGGGGAGGCGCTGGTTGGTGGGCTGATGTGTATCCCTGAGATCGCAGCCCTTTTTAATGTTGGAGATCTTGATTTGTTTTGAAAACGGTAGAGTCGCTTTTTCCGATTCGAGGCGTCGATTTGGTCAGTCGCATTCCTAGCATCATGTTTGGGGTATCGAACTGGCTCATCGCCTTTTCACTCGGGATCGCGTCGTTGGGATACTTCATCATCCGTCTCGTTCAGGAGCGCAGATTCTACAAGGACAAGGCACGTTGCAACATTATGATAGGACAGGAACACGAAAAAGCTGACTGAAGACAGCCGTGCCCGCCGGGCCACTCGTTCATCTGGGGCCACCTGCGCCTGCTGGGCGAGGTCGCGGCGACGATGCCGCCCAACTGCCACCCGCAGGTGTACATGGCGGCGATCGCGCAGCGGTATGATATGCCCGGGGCGTGGTACCTCGACTTCTGGCCGCTGGCGGACCCGGTGCTGGTGGTGACGGACGCGGACGCAGCGCAGCGGCTGCTCACGGGGACGCCGACGCTGAAGCACCCGCAGGTGGGCAAGTTCATGGGCCCCGTGCTGGGGGAGGACAACATCGTGAGCGTGAACGGGGAGATGTGGAAGGCGGGGAAGCGGATGATGGGGAGCGGGTTCAGTCAGGGGTACGTGAAGCCGATGCTGAGCATGTTTTCGGAACATGTGCTTGTTTTTCACGAGAAGTTGAGGAAGAGGGCGGAGGAGAGGGGCGAGGAGGAGTTTGAGCTGGAGGGGGAAGCGGCCAAGGCTATTTTTGACGTGATTGGGAGTATTGTGTTTGGGATGTCGTTGGATGCGCAGGGGAAGGGGTCGGTGTTGCTGGAGGACCTGAGGGCGTTGATTCAGCATTTGAACTTTGTGATTACGAGCTGGAACCCGGTGAGGAAGGTTGTTGAGTGGTGGCGGATCCGCGGGGTGAAGAGGCGGAGTGATGAGGTTATTCGCAAGGCGGTGCTGGAGCGGTGGGAGGTGATGAGAGACGAGGGGGAGGTGCCGAGTCGGCGGCTGGCGAAGAGCATCATGGACCGGGTCATTGCGGACTGGATCCAGAGCGGGGAGGAGGGACCGCCGAAGGGGGATTTTTTGGACTTGTTGGTTGTGAAGTGAGTTGGTTGGTGATGCATGTGAGAAGACGACGTTTGCTAATGGTGTGCCAGTTTGAAGACGCTGCTTCTCGGGGGCCACGGCACGACGACGGATGCCTTCACGTACACGGTGATGTTGCTGGGCCTGCACCCCGAGGCCATGCAGAGGATGCGGGAGGAGCACGACAAGGTGTTCCCGACGGGGCTGCAAGAGAGCGCGGAGATGCTGTGGACGAACCCGGCCAAGACGAACGAGCTCGAGTACACGACGGCCGTGATCAAGGAGACGATGCGCTTCTACCCTGTCGGGTTCAGCACGCGGATCGCGCCGCCGGAGCTCAAGCACCTCGACTGCGACGGTAGACGGCTACCCATCGAGGGCTTCATGCTCGCGCTGTGCCAGTTTGCGTCGCACTTCGACCCGGCCTACTTCGCGGACCCCAAGGCGTTCCGGCCGGAGCGGTTCCTGGGGGCGGAGGGGGCGGCGCTGCACCGTTTTGCATGGAGGCCGTTTGAGAGGGGCCCACGGGCGTGTATGGGGCAGGACCTGGCGATGGACGAGCTGCGGGTGTTGTTGTTGCTCACGGCGCGGTGGTTTGATTTCGAGACTGTGCCGGTGGGGAAGAGGGAGGCGCGGACGACGTTTTTCGAGCTTGACGCACTGGTGGGAGACATGGCATTCCAGGAGATGAAGATGGGGGCGGCGGTTCGGAGTGGGATGAAGATGAAGGTGAGGCTGAGTGGGAGGGAGTGAGGTGCGTGACTGTTGGTCTCCGTGCTGCTTGATGCCGTGGCTTTGTGGAAGCTTGAGCTGTAATCGAGATAAGAATCTTGCGTGTTCATTCGATTGTCGATAGGCTGGCACAAGGCAAGATCTGGATGTGTTGATTGTCCATCACTGCGACGTCTCTCCGAAAGCGATCCAGTTGGCGGATTTGATCGTTTGCTCTCGTAGAGCCATCGTTGTGCCAATAAGCTGGAGGCTGCCTTGTATCACTGCTGATCGATGAACTCAGATATCCTCCTGGAAGCCTTATCTCCTGATGGCGTCTGGCGCAGCGTTGCCTTCCGAAACAACGTCACAAACAATGTCATGGACGTCGATCTTGTCGATGATCATCGGAGAGAGCTGACAGCAGCCCGCACGTGACTTGCAGACATTGCTGACGTAAGGCAAGGAGTAGCACGTGGGGCGATGTCATCAGCCGATCATTACCCGAAAAGTCTGCCGACTGGCGCTTGTCCTAGAAATAGTTACACAGTGACACTCTGCTCAGCAAGAGACGATACGCATGACGATGGCAGCTGTCGACGGCTTCCTCCCGACTTGGTTCCAATATTCTCGATACATTCGCAGTTTGCAGTGACTGGATCAGCCAATGGAGACGGCCTTGTTTGAGCAAGTTTCTCTACCTGGCTCATCCGCACACGAAGCGAAGCGAAGCGAGATGCAATCCAGGCCTGCCTACGGGGTCCAAAACGACTGCCGCATCCAGTTGAATGCGATTGCATGTCGAACATGATGCAAAGTCACCAACGCGGTGCGGAAATACGTCGCGGCAAAGGGTCCATCACACGTGTCTATCGCTAGTCGGCTGCTGAAAGGCAAACGTTCCCGACAATTGCCTGCCCGCCGACATCACCCGCGCGAGGGTCCGTCAGCCTATCTCCTGGGCTTACGCCGGCAACATGTCGGTCAAGACAGCGCCGGCCACAGGCTAGCAACGCCGCCGCCTGGGAGATACATACCGCAGTACACTCCGACGCGGACGGCAAACTCAACCGATCCCAGTGTGGTTGGGACGGCCAACGGGCGACGGGCGAAGAACAAGCCGCAACGCGCCGGAGGTCAATGCGACCCCCATTGGAACGCAACGTTAACGTTGGCCGTGGGGACCGGCAGTGGGGTTCTGGCTGAGGTGGCTGCTGAAGAAGCGGTGATGAAGAATTTCCCCTTCCAGGCGGGACATCCGACGCCTTTTTGCGAGCATCTCGCTTGGGAGTCGCTTGAAGACTCACCGGACACGCCGTCACGCCGCCAGGGCATGGGAGTCTTTTTTGCGTCAAGCATGTGCCATTTGCGCCGTATCGCCGTATGCCGCAGAAATGCCTCGAAGAGATTGACGAGTCGCCCAGTCTCAGCTAGATCAAGAGGCCCGAGGCCTGAGGGCGACGACTGGTGAAGATTCACGCACAAAACCCGCAACTGAGACGGCCACAGCTGCCGATAGACGTCACAGCCACGGGCCACACCACCCCTCCCTAGCAAGCTCGGAGGCTTGGGGTAGAGTTGGTGCCTGCTTGGGATACCCCTCCTCGCCCCCAAGTGCCCCGACGTCAGCCGCCTTGGATAGATTCAGGGTCCTGCCTGAACGAGTGTGCCGCTATCTGTTGTCTGGTGCGCCGTCGAGGAGAGCCTCGCAGGTGCTAGAAGATACCATCGCTGCTGTTGGCGAGTGTCACGGACGCCCTCATCTCATCTTCTGCCAGCCACCCAGGCCAGGCCAGGCTAGGGTCATCTGCAAACGCTGCATGAAGAACCAATTCGTGGAATCCTGGCGCGTGGAAGCACAAAAGACGCAAACCCACCTGCTGAACCTTATCAGCCAGGCCAGCGATAAGAGACAACCTACCGCCGTACGCAGAAACAACACGACGATGTGAGGGGTCAGCGCAGCACCAGCAGCCGAAAGGAGATGAGGCGATACGCCCCTCCACCCGCCATGGGACATGCATTGCCCGGCGGCGGACCAGGCCAAGTCAGCCAGACCACCACCCGCCCGTCCTCTCGCGAGAGGGCGACTGGCTGCCGTCAACGCACAAAGGCCGCAAACCCCACCCATCCACCGTCACAGCACAAACGGCGCCGCACCACCAATGACGGCCGCCCGATCCGGCTCCATCTGGCCACCCTCATCTGACATCTGACCCCTCCTCCAGCGTCCGCTCCCCTCTCTGCCTCCTGCGACGGCCGAGTGCCTCTTCGGATATATAAGTGCGCGGTTTCTTACCCTTCTCTTCTGAGTCTCATCTACTCCACAACGCGATCAATCAACTCCATCACATCATCTTCAACAAACAACCTTTTCAAACCTCTTCCAACCAACCAAATCCATCAAAATGAAGGGTGACTGTGGCTGCTCCGGCGCTTCTACCTGTACGTCTTCACCCCCATGTGGCTGCGCTGCTGCTGCATCGTCGATTACGACATCGGCGCCAGCGCGCTTGTCTCTCCCCCTTTGCCTTACCATGCGCTAACCCCCATGTCTCAGGCAACTGCGGCTCCAGCTGCTCTTGCTCCGGCTGCAAATAAGCTGCTCGCCCCTGTGCGTTCAGCAGACAACCTATGAGCCATGACACACATTTCCGTTTGACGGCGGCCTGCGGCGGAAACGTCCAGTCGTCTTTCTCGACTTCGACTACGATGATATGAGCTTTGTTTTGCGGGAAATGGGGTATGGTTCTGGGGATGAGCCATCGGCGGATTGTGTTATCTTTCTGACGGAAGGATCTGTTGGCTAGTTTAGTCACTCATTTGGAAATTGACTTTTGAGACGCCGATTTTGTTCTCGTGCCATGATATTCGTATGTGTAGCAATGGCGGGAATGGTTTGATCGCTGCTGCGATGGTGACCCCGCCATGGCGATGTCCGACATATGTCTTCGCAACAATCGACTGCCACTACCAAAAGATGATGGTTTTAGAGCTGCTCGTGATGTCCCGGCCATCATCCTCCATTTATATACACCATCAAAAACCCTCAAGGTGCTCAAATTGATCACGCTCATCAACCACAACCCCAAACACCAGCTCCCTCTGACCGCTCCTATGATGAAGCACAACCCCGCCCCGCCCCGCCTTGGCTCCCTCCAACCCCTCCATCCCGACCCTGTAAGGCCTGTGCAACGACAGATCACCACCTCAACTCAAAACACACCTCACCACTCCCACGCTGGCCGTCCTTCACAAACCAATGCCGACACGCGCCGTCCCCCCTTTGCCAGACGCAAACGACATCGCCTCAGCCCATTCACACACTCGTGGCTCAGCTATTGCCTATTAGCAGGCTCCCTCCGACGCCCCGCGCCGCCGAACAGAACAAAACACGCTCCTAAACGGCAACCCGGCCCAAGCCGCAACCCGTGACCCCCGTCCCCGCCCTTTTAGGCCATTTCTACCAACCCAATAGGCCGGAGCTCCCGTCCCTCCTTACCAGGGGAGGGGCAGAAAAATAAAATAAAGCAGAAAAAGGACGGGGCCAGCCTCCAGCCACGGCGAAGTAAGGTAAGGTACAGATACTGTACACCGCATCTAAATCGACGACATGCCACATCCACGGACCTCGAACTCCCCGCCTTCCTCTGACTCTCGCTCTTTCACGTTGCCAGGTCTCCAGTCCAAACAAGGAAAAAGAAAAACAAGCCTATCCGTAATTATTCCCACTCTAATGGGGTCCATTGAATGGAACCGCAGGTGGTCCAAGTCATGGGGCAATCCGAGACGATCCGTGGGCAAAACACCACCTCAGCTTCGGCTCTGAGGACCCCTCATCCTGCAGCTCAAAGGAGACAGAGAGGAGAGGGGAGGGAACCACTGGGTGGGCTTTTCGCGTTTGGCCCCCATGGAATGCGTGATCATGCCGTCTCGTCCATCGCCTCACACCTTATGTTTATTTTCGGGACATTTTCGTCTCGCCTTGCCTGGCTCAGGTCTCACATCTGCGGCCGCGAGGGGAGGGCGACGGGGGCTGCTTCTCACTAAATCATGCAAAGAGAATGTCCAGACGCCGTCGTCCGTCTATCTGTTCGGATTGTGGTCTCGACCGCCGTACTAACTAAACAAGCGCGCGGCAGCCTGGACGTCATGAATCATCTCATCATTCCTCAGTAAGGCCCAAACTTCGGGCCTACCTAAACGAACAAGCCACGCCGTGAATAACCTTCCGGATTGTTGCACCTCTCAATTGCAGTTGGCCCCTTCGTAATTCGTACTGAACACGATGAGATGCAGAGGCACAAGAAAAAAGGACGCGTAATAACCTTCCAAACGCCTCTTCCCATTCGTGAGAGCCCTGCATGAGCAGCACGCACGCCAAGCACCGCGCATCGTGAGCTCTCGGCATCATCTTGCCGGCGGGGGTCTCACCCACGCCATGGCAACCTCACGACAGGTCTCGACGACGGACGACAACGACAACAACACCAGAACGAAACAACAAGCTTGCCTGCTCTCGCCCCGCCCCGTACCTTTTGCCCCTCCATCCCACTTAAAAGCTAACACCCCCCGGCCCGAGCCTACCCAACCAAAAGGAAGCTCTCACCCCTGTCCATGGCGGGGAGCTGCCCTTTTTTTTCCAAGCTGCGGCTCTTGGCTCCAAGCTTCCACGTAGCCAGCTTTCCTGGAGCTCAGGTGGGAACGGACGTCCCGTCGCATGAGAGAGTGACATGCGGCAGAAACAAACCGAATCACCGCGAGGGAAAGCCTCACAACTGTCCCGGCACAGCTTGCCTGCCTCTCCTTATAGGGCAGGGCCAAGGTTGTGCCAGCAAAGACGTGGAAAGTCAATGGGCAAGACCAAGGCGAGGCAACCCGCCCCAAGATGCAAGCTCAAGCTACGTGACCTCCTCCGTGACGCGATCGCCAAGCGGGAACCCTCTTCCCCTTCCCCCTTCTCATCCCATGTCATCCCGCAAGAGACAGCTTCCAAGACCGCTCTTTCCTACCATCGAGGTAGCTCTCCCCTTCCACCTGCCTCCACGTGTTTGATCCTCTCTGCCTTGAATGGAGGCCTCTCGCCCCTCTTACCCTGAACGCCCCTTTCTCTTCTCGGCCAAGCCTGTGCCCCTCATCCGTGATCCATAGACCCGGTGGCAGCTAGGTAGCTCACCTGTCCTCTCACTTACGGGTCCCTGACGTATATATAAACCCAATTCCTCCTCCCAACATCCACTCCTGTCTATCTCTCCCACTCCAACCTTCACTACAAGCTACAAACCACAAACAAACCTTTGATACCCCCTTCCACCACCACAACCAAACCACATATAAAATGTCTTTCCACGTTTCTGCCGAGAACATCCGCGTCGACGACGGCCACATCCTCCGCGCCGCCCTCCGCAACGAGAACGGCGACCTCAACGAGACCGAGATCGACCTCAACAACTGCCTCGGCAACAACGACGGCCACTTCGAGTGGAACGGCAACGGTACGCTCCTTCCCTATCCCCCGTCGTTCTCCTTCACCGGATGGACCCTTCCCTCCGTGCCTTCCTCTATGTCCAACACATCTGCCCTTGGAACAACCATCACTAACAAGACATCCCACCACAGGCTACTCCAACTCCGCTGAGGACATCCACTTCTCCATCGAGGGCGGCGACAACGTCCCCATCCTCCGCGCCCGCCTCTTCAACCTCGGCGGCGAGGCCATCGACGCCGACTGCAACCTGTCTGAGCGCATCGGCAACGACAACGGCAACTTCGTCTTCAGTGAGTAGCTCCCTTCCCCGCCCGGCAGGGATAAATATGATGAATGGGACAATTGCTGACGCTGGAATGATTCAGACTAAACGGATGACGACGATGACGATGTCACGGGGCAGGTGGGGGAAAGCATGTTGTTGTGCCGCTGCATGAGCATGGTTTTTTATGATTTGATGAAAGGGATGACGCGGGGTCATAGATACACCTACGAATCCTAGGTAGCGAATCGAGCTACGGAGCCGTTTTGAGGCTGAATGAACTTTTGATGTCCCGTTGTGAAACTACGTGGTTCATAACCAGTCTGAAGCGAGAGGACTTGTTTTCGCTCCGATCCCAAAGAATGCCGAGGCAAAAGCCAACCCATTGCCGTCCTTGCCTATTCAAGCCATTCTCATTCGACATGTCTTTCTTAAGGCGTGGTTCACGGAGAGACTGAAACATCGAGGCAATCCTGTCTTTATTCGAGCTTCCAAACGTCGAGGTAACCTGATTCTATCCGTCCCTATCCACTAAGAGCATTGAGGCAGAATATGACCCAGTATCACTCGTTGTCCTCCATTGAAGCTATCCACGCGATAATGATTCTTCCTCCGTTCCTCCACTCAGTTGTCATCGTCATCGTCGTCAGAAGCATCTTCAGATCTGAACGCGTCGATTTCACGGACCATGTCATCCGACAGGGCGAAGTAGTAACCGTACGTCACGCGCGGAAAGCTGCTCATTTCGCGCACCTCGTCCATGATCTCAGCCGCGCTGCGGTGGTAGTCAACCGAGAACGCCTCAAGCAGCTCATCCTCCGAAGAAGCGCCCCCGAGGAGGTGGACGGGGTGAGGCAGCGGGAAGACGGGGAACTGGTGCTTGCGCCAGAGGTCCTCGGCGGGGTTGGTGTGTCTCTCCTAGAGATCTCCCGGTCCCTTTAGGAAGAAGTGGTCGTTGCTGTCGATGTAGAGGCGGCGCGAGTAGTAATCGATCATCTTGAGGTACGGGGCGCCGCCGCCGCGTCTGGTGGTGGTGTTGTAGGTGCCCGGGAGGGCGAGCCGGAAGACCACGCGGTGAGAGTCGCGGACGGAGTGGTAGTGCAGGCGGGCCACGTGGAATGCCATCTCTTTGGCGAGGGCGCGGGCGGTGGGGAGGCCGAAGGCTTTGACGACGTCGTCGGCGTAGGCGATGGGGCCGTACTTCTGGCGGATGGAGGCGGCTTCGCTGGGGATGGGGCGGGCCATGCCGAGGAAGACGAGGGGCTCGAGGGTGAGCTCGCGAGGGAGAGGGGCGGTAGTGGTGTTGGGGATGGGAGAGGAGGCAGTGGCCGAGTTGGTGCCCGAGATGTTGGCGATGTCGAGGATGTGCGCAGAAGGGATGGCGGCGGCGATAGGACCGATGTTGCTCTCGTCGAGGGAGAGGCGATCAAGAGGCGAGGAGATGCTTTCAGTGTCAGAGTCCTCGTTGTCTTCGACGAAGCAGATGTTGGGATGGCCCTCCTGGCCGGTCTGGGGGCGGTCGAGGTCAGCCATGGCGGTCGTTAAGCTAACTTGCGATGGTGTTGCGAGAAGGAAAGAAGTTTCAAAACAACACCAGTTGAATATTTTTGGTAAAATCTTTTCCAGTGCCTTGCTTAGTCGTGGAGGAGGGCTCTATCGTGAAGTCTTCCATCGAGTCAGTGAGGGGGTGTCTCTCAGGGGCGCGGGCTTGGTGCGTCGATGATGCCCTTGGTCTGTGGCTCTTATAGAAGCCAAGCGCTCCTGTTCTTGGGCCCGTCCTAGTAACAAAGACACTCTCATGATGGTGCTTGTCTGTCTGCTGAACGATATGATGACGGTCTATCATCTCTTTGTAGGGGGAACAAATTATCACTGGCTTTCATAGATAGATGCATCATATGGACGATTTGATTCTACTGTGTAGACATTTACGTCTTTTTGTAAAAGTCATAGTCCTCCTTGAGAGAAAACTCTGAATGGATTCATTGCCTGCTATGAAAGTAACAGTCCAAACAGGTAGCTGTCTTGGTCGTTGGACAACGGATTCCCCTTAAAGCTCGGGTAAGAGCCCTCGATGATGCCTTGGGATGATCTAGGCAGGTGTTTCGAGTAGTGGCTGGATCCGACTATTATGCTGCTGTCTTTCTCGTGTGAAACATACCTGTCCGTTGCTGTATTTCTACTGAAAAGCAAGAGCATAGGCCGTTTCCCCGCAGACATGGAGCTGGGAAACAACATTTGTCCAAAAGTCCCGGATGGAAGCCAAGATCAACACCACCAGTCGATAGTTTCTGCAACAAACTTGCTGCCACGACAGCTTCGACAGCATTGAAAAACCGGCAACTCGCAGCCGGCGAGCTTGCCCATCAGCCGTACATGTACGTTGCCGCGACGCTGGTACTGAAGCTTGTCTAACACAACCTAACTCAAGTTCCACAGCGACATCCAAACGCATCCTCGTCCAACCTCCGCCTGAATCACCAAACAACCTCCCCTTCAAAACCCGCGATTCACCGCAAACACCATCCAGCCATGTCATATAAAGTCCCTCCTACGCAACCTCCTCCAGCACCTCACATCCCACGTCAAAGACTCCAAGCAACTACATCCTCAACAGCCGCCATGTCGGACAACAACAACCCCTTCGGCTACCCAACCGGCCCGGCCGAGAACAGAAACACGCCCAATGGCCCCAGGCCAAACAACAACGCCGGCCGCATCCCCGTGCGCTTCATGCCCGACAACGACCCGAGCCGCATGTGGCGTGGCCCCGCGATCCCCAATCAGCCCGATGTTGGCACGCAGTGGTCTGCCCCACGCGCGCTGGATTACATGAGCATGCGCGCCCGGGCGATGAACGGCGCGGATATGAGTAATGGGATGTACACACCCGGCGGCAACGCGCGGTACGGCGGAGCGGGCCCGACGTACAATGACCTCGCTCGCGAGAACGGCGCTGGTATGGGAGGTGGAGGAGGTGGCGGCTGGCCTCATGCCGGCGAACGCCTTGGACGGGGCATCTACGATAATGTGGCGTACCGGAGCCATTGGCCTGGAACCACGGGGAGCATGCCCGGGCCGATGGGGAGGGCGGATAGCTTGAGGGCGATGTACGGCATGAGGCCTCTGCATGAGAGCGGTGGGGGTTTCCACATGCGTCCTCCAAGAGAATACCAGAATGGGCAGAACGGACAAAGTCCCCAGGGTGGGATGAATGGAGATATGAACGGGGGCAACTATGGAGGGCCCTGGATTTAGGAAATGGTTGTGGGAGAGGGAGATACCCGTCATAAACATGCACCAGGAGGTGCCTCTGTATTTGTGCTGCCGGCTTATTCACTAGAGGCCGGCGATATAGTGATATACAGTTCATACTCATAAAACAAAAGTCGACTCCAACATGGTATCTTTTCAAGAAGAGGCGTCCCCGGCCAGTAGCGCAACCACCGTCCGCACAGCCGTCATGGGGCCTTCGTTTCCTTGCACGAGCCTCTCGAAGACCTTGGATGCTGCTGCTAATGAGCCGCGCTCATCGCCTAGACGCCCTGAAATTTGTTAGCTTTGCGTGAGAGGGAGGTGGGAAGGGGCAGGGGTACGAACATCTGCCTGGCATGCCAATCATCAATCCAACTTTACTCTGCGCCTCTCCAGTCCAGTCAAAGTCTATCCTCCATTGTATCCTCAAGCACGACGTCTCCTCGTCCACCGCATCCGGGATAGGGATCTCGTAGGCTGTTCGTCCGAGGTGGGGAAGCAACGCTCCACGAGTGAGGTTCTGCGCCCGATCTTTGTCGCCAAAGGCGCTGTCTGCATCCTGGCTCGGGTCGTCATCGTCCTTCCTCCTGCGCTTCTTACGCCGAGTTCTTATCTTGGCGACGCTCTGAACCAACTTCTCCTTATCCCCTAGCTCGCTCTCTAGGACATGCCACACGTTGGCTCGCTCGACAGCGAGGCGGTACCACTCAGCCATGGCCCAGGTGACGATGCTGACGTTCCGTTTCATATGCGTATTGGAACCACCGCTGGCGACCTTCTCGATGAAGGGGCCAAGTTCGGGGACCGCGGCGGGGTCTAGTCGAGGCACGCTGAGGTGCTTGATTTGTAACTTTTCGGTGTCGACTGTCATTTCGACCTTTGCCATGAATAATCCTGCCGGGTGTGCAGATCTGACAACAATATTGTGTTTCCGCAGCAAAGGCTCGTCCTCGTTCCCGCGGGGCAGGATACTTGTAGTACCGGAAAACTCGAAGGGTGTGAAGGCCTGCAAGTACGGAAGCTCTTCCACAGCAGTCATCTGAATTGGGTGATGCGACACTGGTGCCGGAAGTTCCTCTTCTTGTGGCTTTGACGTGAAGGGCTGCGTCTGTCCAAGAGACGCCATGGATAACCAAGACGTCGGATTCATCGCCAAGTCAAACCACTCATCCGCCGCGTCGGGCTTCTTATCCTTCTGAGGGGGTACGAGGTGCCTTTGCAACAGATCGAAGAGCTGCTCTCGCTTTGAAGCGGGCACGGAAGACCCAGTCGCAGACCTAAGCGACTGTACTCTCCGAATCCGCTCGTTTTCCTCGGTAGCAAAGTCCAGGTCTGCCTCCAATTTGGCGATCTCCGCTTCGAGCGCGTCTCGTTCTGCCTCGAGCTCAGCATTCGGGTCGGTTGCTGGTATCTGTCGCGCCTCGTGTGTTCCCGCAGGTCCTTTTCTCGTCCGTGTCTTCTTCGCCGGCTTACTTGGGCTTTTCTCTCGCGTTACGGTAGGCGGGGCCTTCTTCGAGGGATCCTTTGTCTTCTGAGAGAACTCGGGCGGGCGGAGGGGCGGTTGCTTCAAGGGCGAACTCTTGGACGGCGACGCAGGCCGTCGCTTTCGTTTTGAGGGTGTATCGTGGATGCCGGCGGGCGGCGTCGTGACCACCGGGTCAGCCTGGCCTCTCTGCGTCGGTGTGGGCGGCAACTCAGGCTCAGGTTCTGGCTCGGGTTCAGGCTGTGATCTCTGGGGAATAACACCAGTCGGCGGTGAGCGACGTAGCCCACGCCGAGCAAATGGATTAATCTCTTCTTCCTCCACCTCTGGCTCGGGCAGTGGTCTGGGTACAGGCTTGCCCGAGGAGCGGCGCGGTCTAGACGCCAACGCTCCGCTAAGTCCTGCTCGCGAAGAGCTCGGCAATCGTCGTGCGGGAGACCCAAGAGGGGACTCTGTCGGCGTAGGCTCAGGTTCGAACAAGCTTGTTCTGGGACGCGCCGGCTTGCTCGTCAAAGACGGCCCAGACTCCTGGCTCTGTGCAGCGGACCCCTCGCGGGCATCTTGCGTGGATTGGGTCGCATTTTCGGCGGCGGGCTTTGACGGGCTGAGGCTTCGTCGTCGTAGGATGTCAGGATTGGTACGCGAAAGACTTGACCTGGTGGGCGACGCGAAAGATGGGCGTCTCGGCCTCGGGATCAAGCTTCGTGGCGGGGGAGGATCGGGTGGTGTCGTCGACTCGGTGGTGCCTTCGTCGCGCTCTCTGCTCAGACGCGGCGATGTTCTCCGCCGTTTCGGGGCGGACTCCTCCATAGTTTGTACGCGTCGCAGGACTCAGTGTATCATGTCGACGTCCAAATTCTGCCCTGAGGGCGTTTCGTTGAGGGAGCAGTGGGTGTTGGAGGCTGCACGATGCTTTCGACCGAGTGTTATGGATGGAGCGCGTCTGTGTACATCCGATGTACCTCCAATGCGACCTCACCGCCTTCCAATTCGGGTAGGTCTCCCCCCCAAAAGGTAAACAAGGATGTAGCTCCCCGGTCAGCGGGGCCCCTTGCCTGATTTTCAACGCCTTTTTTTGTTTCTTTTTTTTTTCTTTCTTGGGTTGTTTCTTGGGATCTTCGCAACGCCAATTGAAAGCAGTCTATTGTTCGAGTTTCCAAGGCATCTCGAAATTAACCCTTGTGAGTGGCCGGCTGATTGTGTGGCTACGCCTGTCTGCCCTCCACAACCCAGGACCACTTAAATCAGGCGCTCAAACTGTCGACTGCATTTAGATCTCACTTTTTGGCTTCAGCCTAGAATTCCAACCTGAGCCAAATATGAAGAAGAGAGCCTTGGTACGCATATCGCTATAGACTGAACTACATGGAACAGAGAAGAAAACATAATCAGTCTGGTATGTATGAGAGGCAGGCAGGCAGCAAGGACAACTGAGGCAGTTTCAGAAGCGTAAAACCTTGGAAGTTCGTTCCACCTTTTGTGTCTAGATGTAACATACTTTACCTTCAAATCTTTATCAGTAATGAGTCACATCGTTTGCCAATAGCCAGCAAAGCCGCATGTTTTCTTTCTCCACGTCTGAGCCATCAAGGTCTCAAAGGGAATTTCATAAATTGCTCTGGCCACTTTGAACCGCCTTGCGATTTATTCCTGCAACCACCATTCGACAAACGTAGGGTTAAGCTCGACTACTGCCAAATATGACACCAACGTGGTCGCCATCAAACAGGGCATCTTGGCACCGCTTTCCCGCAGAGATCAGGCTTGCAATTCTGAAATGCTTGCTACAGGACGGCTGCAGCGTGGCTAATTTCGCTACAGTGTCTCGAGAGTGGCAGGAAGTTATCGAGCGCGAAAACTTCGCCCGCATCACCGTCACACATTCACGACTTGCAGATTTCAACTCGATGACCTTTCGCAACCGTGCTCTCGTAAGCTACATTTGGTTGTGTATAGAGCTTGAAGAATATGATTGCACCAGTTGTGGAGTAGAGAAAAACCTGTGCATTATGAGCACAGCAGATCATGTCCGGATCGGCAGAGCATTCACTGGCCTATTCTCGGCTCTCAGCGCATGGCAACCGAGCGATAACCTAGTGTTGGACATCAGCATTCATTCTCCCAGCGATTCGGATCATTGGTTCAAGTACCTGACCTTTGTGCCTGATATGGCACCTGAAAATTGCAACTGGAAAAAGCGGTTGCCTAAACCTATTCAGGTCAACTTTGACGACAAGAAGCACGGCTGGATCGCAGGCCATCGAGTTTCTCCCCCACACCCAGTGCTTATTGAAGACATGTTCGGAGCCATAGTATGGAACGGCATTCCCCGCGCCTATCAACTGAAAAGCCAGGAAGCCGAATCAATGACGAAGATTGACTCCCGCCCATCCGAGACCGAATATCCGCAGCAATGGCAGTGGCTTGAGAAAATTGTGGAACTCCAAGAGGCTGAATATAAGGGAAATCTATGGCTCGAAGCAAGTAGGAACAAGGATTCGCCCGAAACCTACAAACGGGATGAAAAATGGTTTAAAAGACATATGAAGAAAAGGGCAGTTGAGACCGACAAACAAAAGAAAGTGTGGTGGGAGAGCCTTCCTACAGTTACTGCCGTAACAGGTGTGATACTGCGTCAACAGAATCGCCGGCAATTGACGGAGATTCTAGGCAAAATCTTATTCCGCTTTCCTGGACTTCAGGAAATTCACTACGAGCCTTGGAGAAGAGAATGGAAATTTGATCAGGAAGAGGCAGACAGAAGTAAGTGCAAATGCGACGTCTTTCCCACTTTGCCCATGCTTGTTGTTGAACTGAACGGGAGATAACCAATTAACTCGGATATGTGATGTAGTTCATCGAACTTGGTTTACACGCATCCTTTCTAAAAAGTTCAAAAACTTACGGAGACTTGTCATTTTTGAGAACTTCACTCAAAAATACCCAGAACTTCTCGGTCCTCAGCTGGGGGTTCAGCCCATTCAAATGCCGACCCCTAAGGTGGGCAAGGCGATCGCCCATGTCAGTCTCCAGCTTGAGCATCTCTCGGCATCGTTCACGGTGGATGCTAGTCACTTTTTCAGCAGTTGTGAGCCTTCATGGAAGTGGTCCAACCTGACGTCGCTTGCGCTGACCTCAAGACTACTCGCGCCCGATGCGACGACCACTCAAATCGGTGCTATGCTCCGAACAGCGGCAAAGGTGGCTCTGAGAATGCCAAAGCTCCGCGTGATGGAGGTTTGGAACGGGCAAGAGGGATTGGCGGCGCTCTTCAAATACAAATCAATGGGTCATGGGCAGCGTCCCGTGATTACGTGGAGAGCAACGTGGGATTATGCCTTGCAGCCGTCCGTCATCCAAACTTGGAGGGCAGTCAGTATTGAGCACCAGGGAGAACATTACTGGAATGACTGCGTTGTCGTCAAGGAGCTTCTAAATGTTGGTGATGTCAGGTGTCACGGTGACGCGATCCATCATTTGAAGCTGTCAAGCTCCGTTATTCGACCTGTTTCCCTGCACCAGATTCGAACAGAGAGCAGGGTCTTGGATGGCACCTATGAGTGGTCGCTTTAAATGCGTTTTTGCTGTAGGAAAAGTCAGACTGTTCTTTAGTCAAGTTGAGAAAACGTAGCTCTAGTTGATAGGTTGCAAAATGAGTTCATCTGAGTAAATAGCTGCGGCGATTTACGTCGGTATGTGTGATTTTCGGGCCCTGTGTATCCGCAAAATGAAAAAGTTCAATTACCACGTTGTTCTCCAATAGCTAGTCGTACTATCGTATTTGATCGGATCGAGCGAAATACTCGTCTGAGTAACTGCCATACAAGCCTCTTCCACCATGTTCCTCCACATCAGCTTCCCGAACGTCAGCCAAGTACTGATCAAACTTGTTCGTGATTGCCATGGTTCGTTGCAGATGCGAAAACACCATCTTCTTTCCCATAAACTTGGCGAGCTGCCGTGCGGTGGTGATCGTATTCCGGATCTGTCGTCCGTTCATCGGGTGCCTGGTCAGTTCGTCTATGTGCAGCGAAATATCATCGAAGTCGATGCTGTCCTCCTCTCCAATACTCTTGAGCCGCTCGAAGAAGTTCTTCCAGATTTGCTTGCGTTGGTAGGCCTCCAGCTTTTCGTACCGGAGCGCGAGTTGAATTCGAGACTTGAACGCCTCGTCGAACGTCCCGACACGGTTTGTCGTAAGAATCAAGATCCCATCGTAGTATTCTAGGGCGCGCAAGAACACGGAGACAAGTGCGTTTCGTTGGAGGTCTTGCAGAGTACGTTGCTCGAGGAAGACTTCGGCTTCATCCAGAAGCACGACGCAGTCCCAAATCTTGCCAAGGTGGAAGACGGACTCGAGATATTTCTCGACCTCGGCAGGATTCGTTCCTAGATCGCCGCAGGTAACCGAGTACAAAGGTTTCTTGGCTACTTCGGCGACGGATTCAGCGGTAAACGTCTTACCAGTACCTGGAGAGCCGTGAAGCAACATGACGAGACCGTTCCCTTTGTTATCGATCATATCCGTGCCTCTTCTGGAATCGATTTGGTTCGTGACAAGCGCAAGAATGAGTGTCTTCATGTCTTCGTCAGCCACCAGACTCTTGAAGGCATGTTCATTCCAGACAACGTCGTGAATTTGGTCAACCTCGACATCAACTGTTTGAGAAATTAGTGAAACGCTTGCCCAGAAAATGCCACAGAAAGTCTTACTCCACTTCTTGCGTCTAAGATCAAAGCCAGGGATAAGTTTTGGAAAGAGATAGATCTCGGGGGCATGGGGTTCGCTGCCATCTGTAGGCAAGCCTGGTTCTGCCACCGCCCCGATGGCCTTCGCAGCGTACGAATTATGCGGATAGAGGCTTGTATACGTGTCATAGTCAACCATGAATCTTTCGCCCTGTTGAATGTTAGGGATACGGCAAAAGATTTGATAAAGGGTTACGTGAGCTTAACGTTGCTCGTCCAAGAACAAGCCACTTACAACGTGAATTTGCTCTCCGCCTTGGTAGGAAATGAGTCGTTTCTGGCGACATTTCCAAAATGTTTGGCCACGAAGAATTAATTGTTCCTGCACTGCCTCCGAAGTGAATTCAAGAGGAATTACAGGTAACCTCGAAATGCCAATTTCTCCGTTCTCAGTCTCCGTCTCAAACTCGATCTTGAGCTGTTCTTCCACCCGAACAAAGTTCCCGCGATAGGAAATTGAGCGCGATGATATGTTCCATTGCGACAAAAACTTTTCTGGGGGATCTGGATGTCTCTTTGGAATTGGTCCAGTGGCGGAATCGTCAGGTTCCTTGGCGTAGTGAAAAGGGCGAGATATTGCAATGTGACCTTGCGGGACACCATCCGTAAACGAGATCAGAACTTGACCAGGTCGAAAGAGATATTCCATGGAACCATTCGACACAAATCCTCTGCTGAATTGTTCGTCTATGTTGTCATACAACGGCGCATAAGCCTTTTCGATGTGGCCGACAAGTGCATTGACCAATTCGGCTTGACGTGGCGGCAGGCATTCGATTTTGTTTGACTTGCGATGGTGATACCACCATATGAACGGCGCTGACAACCTGTCACTGGTGTTGACCTTGGGGAACTCCTGACGAGACGCAGGATGTAGCGCGAAAAATGCCTCCACAGCCTCCACCGTCTCCTTCGAAGTGAGCAATATGTCCTCGTAGGCGGGTACCGGGAGTGGCAGTGGCCCGGAAAATTTCCTTGCTTCTACCACTGCGTCTCTCTGGTGATCTTCTGAGTAACACTTGTAGACGACAAATGAGATGTCTTTCTCTTTTTCGATGTATCTTTCAGGGTCCATTAATAGAGATCGGGCACTGAGACGGGTGTCGTCTTCGTTGACCATCCATTCTGGTTCCGAGAGGTAGGTATTTCCGTCCATCTCTTCGTTCTCAAGGCAGTGAAAGATTTGTACTCTGACAGCCACGGGCGGCGGTGGCCGATTTAGCTCTTCATTCTCTGCTTCTAAGTGCTGAATTCGTTGTTTCATCTTTTGAAGAACATCGAAACACATTGAAGATGTATGTTCGGCGCTGAGAAGGTCCGAAGATGCTTCGGCGGGGACCTCGTCTGTCTCAGGAATAAACATCTGAATGTCTTCTGAGCTGTTGGGAGTAGTAGCTCCCGCATCAAGTCCCGAGGAAAAGCATTGTTCTTTGAAAGCTTCACCGGTGTCGAATACCTCAGATACATCTGCTGGAATACAGCGAGGGCCATGGTTCTGGTTCGTCTTTTGCGTCTCTTGAGTTACTTCAATGTTCCAATGAGTCTTACCGGGATGACTCCGTCTTTGAGCTGTAGATATTGGGCTATGGCCGTGTGGATTCCGTTGTGATACTGCATGAGAGGCGGATGCCGAAGGGGATGTCGGTAGAGATGACTCCATAGACCTAAGCTGACCGGAGCCCCCAGATATTGTTGCTTCAAGGTGGCGTGAATTTGCGGGCTCTCGTTCCCCATCAGACGGCTTTGTTACAACAGTCTGCGCAGCACCTGAACGGCTGGAGGGCTCGATATGTGGAGGGTCACCTGTTCTGTGTGCCAAAGTGCCTATCACATCTTCCGATATTGTGTAATGTGGCTGAGTTGTCTTCCGAGACGCTGGATCGTCAACCTGGGTCACTGGAACGGTAGCTCCTTCCGAAGTATCACCTCCACCATCAGCCAGTGCTTGTCGAGCCCTTGCTACCCGCTTTTGGTTTTGGTGCTCCAACAACATCAGTTGTATTTGATAATCCGGCATTGCATGGACTGAGAGTCCCGAAGATGCACTAGCTACCACGGGCCGGTGTTTGGCATCCTTTCCTTGGCGTTACTTGTTGACTCTTTGGGACGAACCAGACTTTCGAGGTTGTAGTTTTGTTGTCATTCGATGATGGACGTCGTCCGTTGCCATGTTGGATAATGTACGAGTACTTGGTCCTGCTTCAAATGACGCCGCTTGATGCTCTTAAATAACGCTTTGAAGTGTGTGTATGTACGTTGAATTGGGTCGAGATGTTGGCGGCGCTGAACCCGAATCACCGTACACAATGATGCGTTATCAAAATTTACCTGCGACGGGACCTGAAGCTGATAGAAATCTCTGTCGTAAGCTGTCACTAGCGTAAGCTCCGCGGGAAGACGCCGTGAAGCGGCAAGATGGAAATAGGAAAAATGTAAAAGGGCAAGAAATGGCTGGAAAGAGGGGAAGACTGCTTTTGCTGAGGCGCAGTCAGCGTTACACAACATAACATCTGAATTCTCATTCGCCAGAAACAAATGTGATTGGCTGAAGGCTGGCATCTTGATAGGCCTACGTGATGATTTGAGGATCATCACCTGACTGGTAAGCGCCCGGTAGATATGTTCGTAATATCCCCCTGAAACATCAATCGAGCCTGATCTGTTCACACTCCACACGCGGCGGTAAGCATCGAGAAAACGCTAGATGACAGCTCGAGTAGAGCTTCGCACAACAAGGTCATCCTTCACGGCGCCAAACGGCTGCCTAATTACTCGCCGCCTTCATCGGCCTTGCCTTGGCTGCACTGGTCGTGACCAGCACCTCGTGCGTCATTTCCCGTATTCCGGAAACCAAACCCGGTACGCGACGAAAATTAAAAATTGCGAGTACATAGTGCAAAAGCTACAGGGAATAGTACAACTTGACATTCATAAAACTATATCATCATGGATGGTATAAGGACGGAACCAAAGGTAAGTTTCGAATGACCCGTGAAGATATTGAGACGCCTTAACGCGATTCGAACGCGTCGCGGAGGATGCTTTTAGGGCTGTTCAGAAATACTTCCTGAAGAGCGATGCGTTGACACACGGAGGAAAGATTCTAGAAAGTGGGAGTTATTCCATGAAGGATGCTCATGGCTTGGTGGCCGCAGCGCTCGAAAGCTACGAAGCAGAGTAGAAAGTGGGCGATCCTTAGCTCCTCATAGCCGTACTAGGTGCTAACAGACAGCGTGCAGCTTTTCAGTTTATTCAAACATTCGCTTAGCTAGATACGAATCAACGACTCTCAGAGATCCATCTGTCGCAAGTTTTGACCAACCTCTCGCCGACCTTTGAAGATCCAGCAAAATGCTACAAGCATCATCTCATATGCCGAAACCGCAGAGCCTCTGGCAGGGGCGCAAACATCTTAACGAGCAAGTTTTGGTAATCCCCCAGACTCACGAAATGGTCATTGAGCCATCCATCTTCCTAGATTATCATAAGGGGCCCCTTTAGCGTGCGGTCTGTCATAGTAGACTTCAGCATCGACGTCATCCAGACTTTGGCATCAACTGAGGTGCCGATTATATGGGCTTTCCCCAGCTTAGAAAGATTGAAGCTTGCTTCTATGTCAACGGCAATAGACCTGATCAAGTACCTCTCGTACCAGGCATTGCGGTGGAGCGGTTCCCTAAAGACGGAAACAAGAGTTGTCGTCTCGATACTCGCAGTTTCATACTACGCAGAAGCCGAGAGATTGGCTGAAACTCTTGGAGCAAGCAGTCAGGAGCTTGGGTACACAAGTTTATATTGTCGTAAATCTAGCGACGGTCCTCTCATCGCTTGATGAAGCAGACGGTTTCAATGTGATCAATGAGGTCTGCAGGATGCTGGACGACGCGTCTACCGAGGGCCCGAAGATGAAGGTTGTTTTACTTCTGTATGAGGCTGATTGGCTCAGAATGCTAACGAACAACGACTCTGTGCAAACTGTTGTGGTCAAATCAATGAAAACAAAGAGGACACAAGGAAAAGGACGACAGCAGACCATGGCGAAACGTCTTGTAGGTCGCTCTCAGGCATAAAGTAGGATGGGAGAAGGAAGATTTACGTAGTGTGAGAAAGAATCCTTATTTGTTCGCTCAATTTCAAGCAGCATGTAGTCCAATATTGAGTTGGCTATGCGTCCTAGAAGTGAGATCCCAGTCCGAAATGATTGAGATGAAATCACGTATGTCCTTTGACGAGACTGTTTCGCTAGCAATAACAAAAATCAGTCAAATAACTTTTGCAATATTTATGGAGCGTCTCGTTTTTATCAACAAGCTTGAATCAGGTCGTCTTTACTGAGAACCTTCGCTTCTGTTCTTTCATGCAGGACTTTCATCCAAAAAGTGGATACCGTAGACACACTTTACCAGCTGAGATGTTTGTGGTAAGAATAAATAAAGCGATATTGTCGTATATCGCAATTTGATAAGATTTAAATCCTTCTGCCTACTTGTGGTAAACTTCCCCCTCATTCTTAGTTACCCAGCCTATCCATGCCCGGGGTGCGTCTGATGTCGAGCGAATCGAGAACCTTTCTCCAGCGCCTTCAACTTTCGGATGAATTACCAGTTTGTCACAATATCTCAAACAGAATAGAAATAAAATTTCTATTATTCAATATTTCTGATTTGCTCTTGATTCTGTTATTCTTTGAAATAACTTCAATTTGAATGGCCGGCTCACCATGTCAGCACGTGATCGGGTGCTCCCATCATTACATAAGCAGAAATCCCAGACCGATGACGTCCGCGGCTATGACCGCATTCCAGTCGCCCGCTTCCGCTTCCTTTTCGGCTCTGCAGTGAACCAGGTCGGCGTCCTGCGTCACTCAGCAGCCACCCAAAGGTCCAACTTTCCAATTCCAACCTTAGAATTGGAATAAGGACCTTCGATACAAAACACCAGCAACAATGTCGACGCCCGGCAGACTCCTCCCCCGCCTCAGGCCTTTGGTGCCTCGCATTGCGCGCCCTCCCCGCAATGCCTTCATTACCATCCAAGCCCAGACGGGCCCCGATCCGATCGAGCCCTCCAAGCCCCAAGCACACCCGCTGGGCGCCTACTACGAGTCCATCCTCACGAGCCCCCAGCCGATCCCCGACGTGAAGCCCGAGGAGCCACCCTCGTCCTCCGCCGCCAAGCAGGAGGAGCAGCAAGGCCGTAAGACCTCGCCTCTCTCCCCGTCCCACCCGGAACCCTCTGCTGAAGCTCTTTCCGCACAGCCGGTGCCGACGCCGCCCCCGCAAACCGCGGCTGAGAAGGCCGCCATCGTCTTCGGCTCCGCCCTCGCCGGGCCTGCCGAGCGCAAGAAGCGCCTCGAAGAGATGCGCGCTAGGAGTACGACGGTCGCAGGGGTCGTAATACCCCCAAAGCCCGAGGAGCCTGATAATTGCTGTATGAGCGGCTGTGTGAATTGCGTTTGGGACCGGTTCAGGGAGGAGATGGAAGAATGGTCGGCGGCGAACGCGGAGGCTCAGCTGAAGTTGAGGGAGCAGCAACAAGAGAAGGGAGAAGCTGTCGCGGATACGATGAGCATGGATGACGACGGCGGCGGTTCAGAAACAAATTGGGTGCCGAAAGACCCCAAGATCGCCAAAGACATGTGGGACGAGAAGCTATATGGGGATATTCCGGTTGGCATTCGCGAGTTTATGAAGACCGAGAAGAAGCTGAAAGTACAGCATGAGAAAGAGGGAACGGTAGGCGGCTGAGGAGTTACGGTACTTGGCCTACCACCTCTTTTTCAATTTCTCCTTCGTCTCATTGACCAGCCGGAGTTTCATGGTCATAGATTCTCATCAGCGAACTCATAGACTTGTTTCCAATTTCCATCAGTGCTTATCTGCATGGCTTTCCATGCTGGTGTTAATGATCGGTGGTATTGCTGGTCTGGATGATTGACGATTTGCCGACAGATCGTCAGGCATTTATACTCATCGGGAATGCTCAAAGGTTTCCCCAAGGCCAGTTGTGGAAGACGTGCTTAAGGCTGAAGTTGTGGAATGAATCGAACGAGAATGAAGCCAAACAGCTTCTCTAGTCTCCCTTGCCATTGACCTCCAATCAGCCTCCGCGCCTTCGCCACGATGCATTCAATATGTGGCTTGAGGGGCAATCGTCGTCAGTCGGATGTCTTTGCGTGACTACGGCGAGCCGCCGATAGTATGTAAGCCGCCTCAGCCCTGGAACATCCGCAAACGTCTCAACAGATCACCCAAATAAAGGGTCTTGCCTGACCGCGCCAAACCCAACTCATTCTGGGGCCATCAATCCGGTACCACCCTACGCCCAGTTCCTGAGCGATGGAGAATGCCGCTCCAAGACACGGGGCCCGGAACCATATCTCAGGCCACTGCAATCGGGTCTCTGAGCATGGCTGGATTCATTAATGTCTTGCAAGCCACGCAGGACGGACGGGCGAAGGCAGGTCCTTTAACAAAAAGAACCCACGTCGT